CTGCCGCCAGCGCCGACGCGGAGCGCCTGCTGAGGGGGGGCGGCAGCGGTCGGAAGGGCCCCAACCCAGCTGATTCTGAGGATGAGGAGGCCGTGAGTGAGGTGAACGGAGTCAGGGTTCCAGTAAGAGTGCCTGATGTGGTGATGGGATCCCCTGAAAGAGTGAGGGTTGGAGCAGGGATGGAGAGCGAGAGGTTCCAGAGCGCTACCAACGTGCTGGCTCGCCACTATGGCGTTGGTCTTTTAAAGGGACAGAGCAGAGCAGAGACGGCAGATTCAGAGATGATGATGAGCGTCAGCCAGCCCAAGAAGATGTCTTACAGTTACATGGACGACGAGGATGAAATCAAAGTCTGACTGAGGGAATTTTTCAGCCGTTTTCATCACATGTCGCCGCTCAAGATCTAGGACATTAAGTCCAGTCAGTCAGAGAAAAACAACACATTTGGTTGAATTCTGGCCGTTATAAATTGAATAGAACTGTAGTCTACCATCTTTCATACTCAAACTTTCATCATTAGTGCAGTGCAACATTAACTAGTTTCTTAAAATACACTTTCTGGAGTCACTGCTGTGGCTCACCTAAAGGGTAGAGGGTCCATTTCCAGACTGTCTACACTACAGTACCGAGACAATTTTGACAGTTCTAGTCAAAACTCTGTTGACAGGAGGAAAACTATTATCCAGTATTTTTTATATATTCTTCAAGGATGTACAGTTGTGTGGCTGAATGTATTTAAAAGGCTGATGGCGAAGTGTAGAAAAAGAAAAAACTGAATTAAAGTATATGTGTACAACAATGAGGATGTGGCAAAGTATCGGGAAGGTCGCGTTGGAAATGACATCCTCACTTCATAGACACTTCATTACGCAAATGTGGGAAAAATTATCGGACGAGACGATGGAATAAGGGAAAGCTGACTTAACGTCACTACACTACACTCACCGCAGTCTCCCGTTAGCATTTCACTCAGGAAAACAGGACAATTTCAGGAAAATGAAAGAGGAAGGAAAACCAAAGTGTGAGATCAGGAATCTCAGGATCGACCTCAGCGGAAATGGAGACACAAACAACACAAACTGATGAGACTAAGGGAATGTGATAAGTTCAAACTCAGAGTAAATAAAACCTAAGACATGTATTTTTTTTAACATGCTGCAGAATGCCTGTCTACAGTGGTGTGAATGAGTATTTAGCCACATTTATCTTTAAGTTTTACCTCAAAAAGCCCAAAACAGAAACTTTGTAGAATTTCCGTCTACTTCCTGGTTCACTGCACTGAACGCTAATTTACACTTTGGAGCTTAAATGAGCTGCTTTCTTCAGTCAGCCTGGGACAAACCATTTTTCTGGTGCTAAGGTTTTACATTTTCTGTGGAGCTATTTTATTAATCACTTTTGTGGCTAATGAAACAATACATTTATAAATGTTAGGAATACGTTTAGAAAGTGCTTTGTTTTTCAGCTATCTTTGAATATTTCAGCTATATTTTTGATTAACTTTCAGCTTTTTTTATGAAAATATGTCAACATTACTAAACGTTTTATAAAGCGTTACAAATTCTATTTTTTTTATGCTTGTCATTATTTTGTTAAACACTTGATATACTTCTATATACAGAGGCCAAATACTTTCACCAATACTTAAGATGTATTTTTAAACCTTTTTTTTTTTCAAATTTTTCAAAATGTTATTTGCCATTTCAACTTAGTTTTTTTTTTTTTTAGCTATACTGTATATGTGACATATTTAGCTACTTGTGGCCGATTTTTGGGGGCGTAGGTGAAGCAGCATTAGGATATTTGCGCCTGTCATGCAGAATTTTTTCACCCCATCTACAGATGGGGTTCTGTAAGGGTTAGGGGCTGCATTCTACCTGGATCTGGTTGAATTGTGCTGATCTTTTTAGTGTAAGTTGCGATTATGTTCTAAGAACTTTAAGAAATCAGACAACAACAGCTGAACATTTTCTGGGTAAAACATAAAAACGAGTGTGGCTAAAGTCTTATGTACACACACACACACACACACCACTGTATGTACTCCATGCACCTTTAACATGTGTCGAGTGGAACTCTTATATTTGCTTTTTTTAATAAAAGAATTGTCATTTATACGTTTGTTTATACAACTGTGTATAAGCACTGTGTGTAGCTGCAGTCTGATCAGCTGCAGTCACTAACAGTGATGCCGTCATCATGTAAACTGACAATAAAGATGTTTTTCTTTTTGGACAAACCACATTTCTGAGTTGGGTTAAAAAATTCTGTTTTTCAACTTTAAAAAATAAAAAGAAAGACTGAGTTAATTTTTTATCCCATATTATTTAAATAACTTAGATTAGAAACAGTTTTTTTAATAACAGCAACTTTAGTAACTTGGATTCATTGCCTGGTTTACTTACAGTGCAGACGGAGACAAGTCTTTTTTCACTGGGCTACTGACGGAGCTTCTTTGGCCGGTTGTGTGGGTGGAGGAAGTGGTGGAGGACAGGTTGGCGCTCTCACTCCAGGTTTTTTGGGTGGGGGTTTCTTCACACTTGTGTGAGAGCGAGGAGTAGGCATGGGCTGCATCCTAGTGTTCTGGGCTGCTGGGGTAGTGCTCGGGGCTGTGGGAGGTTTGCACTTGGGGGTCACTGGGGGACCAGGAGCCTTGGGTTTGGTGAAGTGAACGGTTACGTGTTCACTGCCTTTGGTGTGATTAAAGGTTCTTTTAGCTGCAGAAAACAAAATGAAATGAAATGATGGAAAGCAACTGACCAAAACAAACAAATTAACAGGATGTTATTAAATTGCAAAAAGCAGGAAGTGCAACATGTGGCTAGGTATTGTAACATACATCTTTAGCTACATTTAGCTATTCCTGAGCTCACTGTATGTATCTTTGGATTTAGGATAGCTATTCCAGTCTTATGTTTTAGTTAACTTCAGACCATGCTAATGTAAAGCTTCTGCTATTGTGGCCACTGTTGCTATATTTATGGCATATTTTTATTTGTTTATAAAGTTGTTTAATTATATGTATTAACCCTATGTTTTAGTTATCTTGTGGCCAACATTTTGCTTTTCAAGATATACATTTTTTTTGTTGGTTTGAATGCTTAACTGGCTAACCCTTTTTTAGGGTTATTTTTAATAGTACTTTTACCTTAAACAACACTGCACCTTACTACTGTGTGAAAACACAGTCTGAGACATATTACTTTACAGGGAAAGTGTTTTTAAGTCTGAGTTAAGCTCTGAGGTCAGCAAACCCTGACTCATGACCCCAGCGGTAGATATTTTGGTCCAAGACTTCCTGTTTCCTGTCTACTTCCTGGTTGATTGTAGCCCCGAACAACCATCTGCTTTTACAATAGAAAGAGACGTGGGTCCGCAGAAAACTTCAGTAAAACAACAGACATGATGAAAGGACGAGAAGATTTAGGGCCACTTTTAGAGAAAGTCAACAAATTTAACTCTGAATTGTTTCAAAGGCTGACTTCCTGTAGGGTTATTGACATGACATATGCACATGCACACGCACGCACACACACACACACTATTGTAAATCTTGTTGAAAGTGTGAAAAGTGTATTCTCATTTCCACAGCTAACACTAAAGCTAACAACTATAATTATTTCACATTTGATGGGATTTTTTAAAAACAATTGCCTGGTTTCAGCTCTATGCTGGGTTCATTTTTAACTATTTTGAAATTTGGGGTTTAAGCCATTTCTAGACCCTACAGGTCTCCAGACATGTTTCGAACACATCTTTTTATTCTTTAATTCTGTTTTCTTAGCTCAATGTGATAGAAAAACAAAAACAGTGGGGTGTGAAGTGACCACGCCCACATCTGCTGTGGTTCAGTCTCACACTCAGGTTTCCAGAATCTAAAATCCATCCAAAGTTCAACAACATCAAACAATCTCCCAGATTTGATTTCCATCTGGCTCTGTCAGAATGTTTCCTCAGGAAGACAATCACCACCACTGATTCCTACTTACGTTTGTATGGTGAGCTGATCTGCACACTGGCTCCTGGAGAGTCTGGAGGTGCCTCCATAATTGGCTCCAGCTGGGCCTGATCACCGCTCTGTTTCTGGTTGGAGATCTTTGTTTGACCTGAGACTGGAGCTGAGCCTGTGGATCTTGGAGGTAGAGCTGGGATCTGGTCTTCTGTGGAGCTGGACAGGGCAGAAAAATTGGAGGCCAGAGCAGCACTGGGACCAGGGGATAATGAACTACCAGAGGTGGTGGAGTTCTGATCAGTTGGTGCAGCAGATGGTTCAGCTACAGGTCTGCCCCAGGTGGAGGAGCAAGAACGACTCCCTGACCCAGATTTAACTAGGAAGAAGCTGGTGCCTTCCTGAGACGCTGAGCTGATGGACGCAAACAGACTGGTTTAAGCAGCAGTGTAACAACATGCTATTACCATTTTCAGCTATACTGGCTATACTTGTGATTTTTGTGCCTAACCTTTAACTCTGTTTTAGCTAATAATAATCTATTTTGTAGTTAACTTTTCTGAAACTTCAATTCTCTGAATTCGATATTGAAGTTCACCTGTTGGTTTTGCTGAGAGCAGTGTGATAAGAGGAGCTGGAGGAGAAGGAGGACGAGGAGGAGGTGCTCCTACACAGTTTCTCCTTCTCTGGGATCAGAGTCTCAGACACAGTGACAGGAGTGGATCCATCCTGGACCTGTGGAACGCTGGGAATCTCAAAGGCCACTTCTGACAAAAGAAGAAGAGAGAAGAAAGAGAGAACATGATGTTATGCTGAATAATGATGGTGTAGCACAGCAACTCTTTGGTGTTGTTGAACAACACACTCTTTAAACACATCATAACAGAAAAATAACTTTTTTTTTAAGGTCAAATCCACCGCAAAATCAAACAACTCTCCATGTTCTCCTCTCTGGGCTAACTTTTAACAATAATTTGGTTTACCTTTTATTGGTTTTTGCATTATTTTTATTGTCAGAATACCTTCAGGGAAGAGGGTGGAGCTGTGCTGAATAAGAGGCTCAATGACTGTCACCACCTGGACTGAAGACGCTGAGGCCATGTCCAACAGAGCAGCTTCTCTGTAGAGACACCAACATAGAGAAGAGCCAGGAACCAGACAGTCAGATATTCATCAGTCAGAACAACAACAACAACAACAACGACTTCTTCAGACGAACCCTTCAGCTCGAGGCCAGAGCAGGTTTGGTCCCAGGACGATGGCGATGTTACTGAACGTCATCTTGTTTACAGCCTGTCGCTGCGACAACAGAAACAGGAACTGGAGCAAATACCTGAATTGTGAAGAGAACACGCACGTGTAAATGAGTGGAAGAGGATGACGGCATCGAGAGTTTGTACTTTGGCTATATATTAGGATTTAGTATCCTTTATCCATGACATAGACAGACTGACAGACCAACCTATGATTCATGTTTGCATATCAATTTATGTTCCACAATTGTTTTATTAAATTCCAACCATCCATCCATTTTCATCCTCTTATCCATTACCAGGTTGCGGGGGCAGCAGTCTCCACGACCGCCACCCAAATCACACTGCACCGTACCAACCCCCCTGAACCTTCCTGCAGGTGGTGAGTCCACTGGAAGGTACCAACCGCCCTAACTGGGATTCAAACTTACCCAGGAGGTGAACCCTGGGGTTACACACCAATGACAGAGACATTGCCTCTGGGCCAAAGCACCACTGTTTTAAATATATTGTAAAATAAAATTATTGTCTTTAGTTTCCTAGCTGGGAGAACATGTCCATTTTCTGTGTGCAGCGAATCTGGTTACACACCTGAGGTTGTGGTAGTTCTCAGGGGGCAGTTTCTTCAGCAGAACTTTGAACTTCTCCAGTTTCTCTGTCAAATCTTTTTCCCTGTGAAGACAGTAAACAAACCTCAGACTAAGAACCTCAGTGGAATTTTTGAAGAGTGTCGGTGTAAAGAACCCACCCAGCTGCTTTGAACCAGTCATTGTAGAGTTCAAAGGTCATGAGAGGCTCTGGCAGTTCACGAAGGTAGGACTTCAAAGCTCCTGTCACCAAAGAGGAAGTGTTGTCATTGGAAAGATAATAAAGGTGTGACCCATTTTCTACACATGGAAGAAGAGCAGCAGTATATTTACCAGCCACAGCGTGAGGATCCATGCTGAACTCGCTGTGATCCACGACCCCCTGATCCAGACAATTCTTCAGCCGCTTCACCACCGAGGCTGCAGCCGCCAGACGGAACAGACCCTGGAGGAGCAGGGACAGTGGATTTGAATAAAAATATATTTTGGTCTGTGACCAAACAAACAAAACAAAGCCAACCACCAGGACTCCCATCTCTCCTACCTCCTCTTCCATGCCCGTCCTCAGCAGCATGTGAACACACTCCTGTATGGGAGCAGCGATGTCTCTGTTGCTCTGGGTCAGATGAGACAGCAGAGCTTCTCCGTAGACCTTATGACGAGGGACGCTCAGAGACGAATCTGTGAAATCAGAGGAGTGATGAACCAGCAGACAGAAGGTGAAGGTAAAGGCTGAGGTTCACACGAAGATGAAACCTTTTTGATTGTGATTCTCCTTGAGCTCGGTGATGTTTTTGTCCAGGAAGTCGTGTGAGTTCTTGTGATACTCTGCCTGCAGCTCCAGCAGCTGTGATTGGACAAAGCAGTCGATGGATGAGAATTCACATATCATATGGAAAATACAGCCTGAAGTTTGTACAGTCTGGATGTAAGCAGCGTACACGAATGAAGTAGTTGGCGTAGTCATCTTCTTTGGTCGCAAAGTGGTACAGGTCTGCAGAGTACTGATCCTACAACCACAGGAACCAGGAGAGGTTAATTCATTCAAAAGTGTAGTCAGTACGTTATTTCAGGTACACGCTGTCCTCATACCTTGATGTTCTCCAACTTCCTCCAAGCTTCTTCTACTTCCTCTCGAAGTCCATCTTGCTTCGCCTGAGGGCCATTGCTGGTCTGGCTCCTGGTCCCAAACAAATACATGAACAATGAGTGGATTGGTGGTGGTTTAACACTGTGTAGCTTTCTAGACGTTTCTACAACTCACCTGATCCTTGCGTTGTTCCAGTCCATTGTGAGTTTTGCAAACTGTTTTTTGTTCCTGAGAATCTCTGGTAGGTCCTCCTTCAAAAAAGGGAAACAAATGTGCTAAAATCTTTTAGAATATTCTCATTGTCTCACCAAGAGAGAAAAGTTTAGCCAAAGTTATTTTGACCTTTAGTTTATGGATAATTGATAAATGTAAAGTAAAAACAGGAAGTTGACTTGAAGCTCTCCTCACCTCACTGAGCTTGTTGAGTGGCTCCAGGACTTCTCTCTCCAGCTTCATCTCAAAGTCAGTCAGCAGGTTGGCCAACATCTTCTCCATGAAGCAGCACATCTCCAACACTCTCCTGACCCACAGGAACACAACGGAGTAAATGTTGGTCATACATTTTAGAAGCTAACGTCATGAATTGCAATACAATCGCAGGTACAAACAACAGATCTTTGGGTTCTGCTCCTTTAACACTGAGAACCTGATAACCTTAGTTAATCTTGGATGGATGGATGGATGGATGGATGGATGGAGCATGTCACCTGATAGAAGACTCTGCGTCCAGGTCTTTCAGACTCTCGGCCATGCTGACTGACAGCAGCATCAGAGGGAGTTTTTTCTGTGACCAGAGAATCAGGAGAAGCAGCAGTCAGTAAGCTAACCTTCAGATTGAGGCCTGATTGGCTCTTCTCATCAACACAATAATTTCTGAGCGGCTCACTACCATCCGTCTCTCAGTCTCCAGGCTAGGCTGACTCTGCATGCAGCCCAGCAGCTTCTTGTGAAGGACCTGGGTGGCTTTTTTGGTGGGTTCCACCCTCTGCTCCACCTTTGTAGACACATGGAATTAGTTCATGAATCCTTGAAATGTAACAATTAAACTTCTTGTGCTGCTCAGGTGGATGTATGGATGGATGGATGGATGGTCAAACACTTGGATGTCATCATCAATATAACAGAATGGTTTAACATTCTCACCTTGACCAGGTCTTCGTGCAGAAGTTCAGTGGCATCCTGAGACCTGGACAGAGAACAGCATCAGTGAAACATTTCACCTTTGACTTCTCACCACAGTAGAAAACAGGCAGCTGTGTTTTGTCCTCACTTTTTATACCATAACACCAGGAGGAAACAGTATGTAGTATCACTAAGTATTAGTATTAACATTACATGTGATTTTCCATTTCATACTGGTGTCAGTGAGACAAATTTAAACACAGTTCTAAGCAGAGGAGGTTGGCAGCCACTTCTGTGGTTTTCTTCAGAGTCAGATCTGTGGGGGGAAAGAGACGCTCCGCCCACAACCACAAAGGTTGCCAATACAACAATTAGGGAAAATCAGTCACCCGTCACATTTGCCTCCAGAACATCTCGTAACCCTTATGAAAGGAAACCCAGCCCTGAGGTGTCACTTCTCTTTTCCTCTTGAACCAGTGACATCTGAGGATTCAACAGGTTTGAAGCAGACCAGTTTCAGGTTCATTTCTGAACAACTGATAGGAGATAAATTTCACCAAAGCACATGACCAAACATGTCACATGGTTGGTGAGAAAAGTAGACGTGTGTGTGTGTGGTGGCCTTCATCACATCAATGTTGTTTTAACATCGACAGAGGCTCCCTTGTGTGAAACAAGAACAAATGAAAAAAATTGAAACCAACATCTGACCTTATGTTTAGAATCATTAGGTTCTCTGCGTCACTGAGCGACTAAAACAAGCGTTGCTGTGGTGGATGAAGTGCAGACTGCTGAGCTGCAGATGCAGCACATTGTGTAGGTTTATTATTAAACCAGACTAGGTCACACACAGAGGCAGTGTCATCCACACACACACACACACACACACACACACACATAGTGAATGTCAGTTGGAGCTGCAAATGTCAGTTTGATAAACCTAACTAAACTACAAGACCTTATGAAGTGACACCTGCTGATGTTTATCACATAAACAGCACCAGGTCCATGAGCAGCTATACTCTAGAAAGTTTACCAACAGTAGTGAAAGGTTTGCCAAAAAATGTTTGTTGGGAGTTAAAAAAAACAGTTCACCTAATATGCTTATGTTATGTTTACACATAAAAATATATTAAAACTTTTTACAAAAGCAGTTTTAACTTTCACAGGTCAACAGTTTGACAAAACAGGTAACAGATAAAAAAACAGTAGTTGAATGTTTGCCAAAAAAATAATGAAATATTGTCCAAAAACTAAATCAATAGGTTATTTTAAAAAGACACTGCAGATGGTGAAGTAAAAATAAATTATATATTTCATGTTGCTCTGAGCTAAAAATATTTATATATTTTGTCCATGTAACTATGGTTTCAAGTTGTTTTCTAAGTGTGGTTTCTGAGTGTTCTCTTGTTTCAAGGCAGTGAAAACACACTGGGGAGTGTGTTGGAGAGAAGTGGGGGTAGGTTTCAAACTTAGTACTTCATACAATACAGCCACACTTTACAAAAACCTAACCTGTCATTTAAAGGACTTTCATGAAAAATGAAAGAAAAAGAAAAGATTCAACAAATCCAGAGGGTAACTGTTTCCCTGTATAGAACAGCCCACTGTAAAGAGCAGCAGTGGTGATCGACCAAGGCCTTCAGGGAGAACCTGAGGTTTACCCCAGAACACACCATTCTGCACCAGCCTCATGTCAGGAGGAAGTAGCCACCGAGGCTCTTGCAGGTTTACACAAACAGGTTGGTGAGAGTGAAAATGAAAACATGGCAACGTTTGGATTATTTCCTCAAAGCAGAGCAGGAGCAGAGAAATGAAAGCCTCAGCGGTCGGCAGTTCTGCAGGCAGACGGACGTAAACATTGTTCAGATCCAGTGGAAATAGAATCACTGATGATGGTCTGGTTTATGCTGCTGAACACGAGTTACTCGCTGCAGATCAGTGTTTTCAAAAGAGAACATGTAAATTGACTCATCTTCTACTTCCTTATCAAAGGTTTTGAAAAATGTGCGACCGGGAGCTGGATCTGGTCCGAGTGGTCAATGGGTGAGGATGGTGTACATACTGGTCAGTTCTCCAGGTCATCACAGCACCACATATACAGACAAACAACCATTCACATCTATGGTTACTTTAGTGTGAACTAATCAACCTGTGGGTGGAGACCAGAGAGCCTGGAGAGAACTCCAGAGAAATTTGACAAAAAAAGAGAACATCTGAGATGTTTGATTAGTCAGATACTGAAGAAATATTGCTGCGTTTGGTTTTAAATTAAAATTGTTGAATATTGGATAGCGGGGTCAAACTCACAGCCCATGGTCCACATCTGGCCCTGACCAGTATCTAGTCAATAATAATTAAATGTTTCATTTTTTAAATGAAATGATCTTGTTAGTTATTTAAGGGATGAGAATGAAATGTCCATCAAGTTCTGTCATTGTTTATTGTAACATTGTGGTTTTCTGACGAAAATGACCGTGTTAGCAGCGATAGTTCCAGTTTGAGACAGACACTGTAGATAATAACATGTACCAACATTGGACCACAGTGTCAGGTTGAATCACTTACTTTGCCGTAGAGCTGAGCTGCTTCAGTATGCTCAGGGACTGACGCAGCATGTCTGCAGCACCGTGTCCACCTCTGTCCTGCTCAGACCCCCCTTACACACACTCACACACACACACCGACCACACAGTTGTCCAGCTGTGTGTGTTAATGACTGGTAGAGCGAACACAGACTCGTCCGGCTCCTCTCTGTCCCTGCGTGTTTGTGAAAGTGTGCTGCGTGATTTGTTTCTCGTTTCTGCTCTGAAGCAACTTCTGACACAAAGGCAGCGAAGGAGGAAGTTGCAGACACGAAGTGTCAATAGTGAGGGGGGAATTGTACGGAAGAAAAACAAAAAGATCGTTGAGTATGAGTATTGAATAGTGGATGTGAACTATTGTATTTATCTTTTCCAATAATTTAATCTTTTACTGTCCCAGAATCATCACTTCTGCTGCTTTCTCATGTTGAAGAAATGAAATATTGTTTTCTATTTAAATGACTCACTTTTCTCCTTTAGTTTAAATATAATTTACTCACACTTTAAGCAAATTAACTCATGAAAGACTGTGGTCGATTTGGGTGAGTTTAATTACAACTGTGTGTGTGTGTGTGTGAATGAGGTAAACGGACATAAAAAGAGGAAGCCATTTCTGATGCTCTGACACTGATTACTTTTAACATAATCTCAAAACAATATTATTTTGGGATACAGGTTTAACTGTTTACATTTAGCCACAAATTCTGTTCTGATTTAATTAAATCAACTGCAAATATTCAGTTATTTTGGGCATATTCTTCTTAATACATGGATTTCCTAGTCAAATGGAGGTCAAACGGAAATAAAACAATGTACAATTTAAGTTTTAAAACATTCTGGGTAATAAAAATGTACAAGCGTAACAAACGTAACAATACAATTTGGCCACATGAGGGCAGTAACAACAGTTACAGATTTACCAAAAGTTCCAAGTGGACTGGACAAGAACTGGAATATAAGAGTTAAAACAGAAATGGCATCCATTGACAACAAGACTGGGTAAAAGAAAAAACAATTCGTGTTTATAAAGCACAAAATGAATCTAAAATAAAACACATAATATTTGATGAGAGTAACAGAGTCAAAAAGCTTGATGTAACTGGACTAAGGTGGGTTCCTGTACTGCTACCTGGCTTTGGTGACTAGGCCTAGATGCTTAAAATATGCCAGAAAAAATGTAGAGGTATAGGATTTTAGAAGTTTTCTGAGTCTGTTGTGGTTGTCGGCAGTAATATATACAGTTTAATATATTGGTCTAACGTTAAATTCATTAATATATAAAAATATGCAGATAAAATACTGTTAGTTTAAAATAAAAATAGCCCTTCGCCATCCCAATCACTGAGCTAAATAGCAGTGTGTTGGCAGCGCACTAGCACACAGTGGCGTACAGTGAATTTCACACCCAGGCCTTCAGTGGCGTCCTGTCTGAATAAATCAATTTGACGTAACCTTTACTAAAGCAACAAACCCACGACGCAAAAAGCATAAATAATATAATTACAAAAAGACTAAATGCATTTTACTCACCAACACGTCTAATTCGTTTAACGCCCATCCTCCTCTCGTTCCTTAACACTGTACAGATATCCGTCCTTTTCTATCGTCAGAAATGCTAATGCTAAAGTCCACTCTGTGCTGTTGTATGTATAGCATGGGTTTTAGAGAATTCACACCCGACAGTAAAGCGGAGGACGCGGTGAATACTTTGTTTTTTCAGCGTGCAAGTTTCTATGACACTGTGCGTTCTCTGACCATCCAATCAAATCTCTCAAATTGCCAACGTAACTGCGGGCTAGCTGGAGGGCCTTGTTGTGGCCAACTCAAAATCTGATTGGTTAACGAACTTGTTAACGAGTGCGTTTGCATGTTTGAATCACCAGTGGGCCAATCGTGCAGACAACCTATTGGCCGGACCTTGTTGTTGGCGGAGCTAAACCGAACAACCGACCGCATTTCCTTACAAGATTCCTTCATAAAAGATGTCCCTACGCTAAACTGCCATTGTGGAAGATGAATAAATAGATATCTTTAGATAGAACAAATCTCTATTAAAAACATAAAACAATGATGAATAATGATATGTAAAAACAGGAAACGTATTAACCTTAAATATTTTTGCTCTGTGTACCTAAAGTAGCTAAGACCGCTACAGCTCAGCGTGAATACTGCGTTTGTATCTGTCGTGGCAATTGTCAAACACTTGTAGGTAAGTGCAGTCGGTTGTGCTCTTCAGTCAACAGAGGGCGACATTGTTTTGAAGTTATTTGTGGACAGCCACATAGCCAATTTTTTAATATTTTGGTGATGCTTTAATACAAAATGTACAAAATAAATGTAATAAAATAAAATCTAAGATGTACAATATGACATGTGGACACGATATTTTAAATGTCCATGCAAATAAAGCTTATTGTTTGTTCAAAATGAGATATGAAAATAAATGTTACACAACATGAGTAGCTCTCAGCCATGTTTATTCAGGAAAAGTTGCTCGCTAGAAAAAAAGTTGGAGACCCCTGATCTACGGGGGTATCCCATTCACCTGCAAATGGAAAGAAAATACAAAAACCAGAACTTTATGTATCAATGACTTTATTTTTAAAAATGATTTCAAATACATCAATGGAAAACTGATGTCCATTTTTGTTTTGCTGTGTGGTCTGAATTGTTCCTTAAGATGCTTCTACAGCACAAATTACGTGGCTTTTGTCACCACACACACCTGATGTTTACAGTTATGTACTTTTGTATGTCCTGAATGATTACAATGCCCTGCAGTGTCCTGTCTCTGTGAGGTTGTTGCAGATGAGGAATTATTATCGATGTGGAAATGTTTGGAAAAAAAAAACAAAAAAACAAGCGCAGGTTCTGTAATAACAAAATCCAATTTGGTTGTGTGCAAGTCTTGAGAATACCACAAGGAGACCCTGCCTAAGGGAGCGCACCAAACAGTGGAAGGTGAAGGTTCTTTAAGGCAGTTTGAGACTGCTTTACAGCACCGATGTCAAAAAAAGAAAAGAAAAAAGAAAATCAGTAGTTCAAGTACTGTCACTAAGATGGGGCCAAAAAATTATTTACTGTGAAAAATCTGAACTTTTCTTTTCACCATTAGTCCTTTCAGCATTTGGTCCATAGTAAGCAGAAAGACAATCTAGAGACCAATGGAGTTTTCTCAAATATTTATTCTATTTTTTTCTAACTGTCCTAAAAAGTATTGTACTGTATTTCTTGATAATGTTTGGGTTTATTATATTCAAAATGTCAAGAAATTCCATTATTGCAACCCTAATTGCTGCTGCACCTAAAGAGCTAAAAAGATGTATATGGACTACAGTATAAATTCATTGTTAGTTTAATGAGCTAAGTGTGTAAACTGTCCAAATATCCAAAATTGCTTTAAATCAAATGAAAGCACAAAATAAAATAAAAAATTTAAAAAAGATGACAGAAACAAAAACCCTATTCTTATGAAAACCCAACCAATAAAAGGTGAAAACAGCTGAGGTACGTTAGGCCATTTTGATCCAAACATAAACCCTTAAAACAAAACACATAGTGTATTTACTATTAATCAGTTTCTGCTCTGAAAGTATTATTTCTCCTTTCTACAAAGGACACAAGACGAAAGGAAACGTTTCATGAACACTGACTGTAATACCTGTCCAGCCGTTGTGAAAACTTGTCTTAAGGAACCTTATACAAAAAAAAGAATTGAGAAAAATAAGTAAATGGAAAATGACTTGAGCAGCTTTAGAATTAAAACGCTGGCGGTGGTGAGGAAGAGAAAAGAGGGCAGTGAAGCACTTGGAAAACCTGAGATTGTCTCCTCTCAAAATTTCAAGTAATTTAAAAGAAAACAACAGGCAATCCAAATGTTGCATTCCTCTTCTTCTCACTTTAGTCCACCCCATCCCATACCCCCTCCCCGTGTCCTGACTGTGCTACCATCGAAGACCCACGCCCCTCGGTTTTGAAAAAGGGGCAACAGGAGTTCAGGAGCACACCTGATAAGACAACTTGCATTGGTCCTCCTCATTAATTTCTCCTCCTTCATCTCCTCTTCCTCCTCCTCCCTCCATTCCTCTGAGACTCAAGTGTATGATGAGGTTAACAAATAAATGATTAGCGCTTCGCTTTGGCTTCTTCTGCTTCTTTTTCAGCTGAAAAGGTTTTAAAATGTAAAATTAGAACTTTTTTGTTACCTTTCAACAGTTACACTTATCAAGTCTGGATTTTTGTGCCGTTATCTCACCTTTCCTGATTTCTTCTCTCTTCTTGGCAGCGTCTTCTCTCTGTTTCTTAATGATGGCCAGTCTGGCCAGATCAGCCCTGGCCTGGTCAGTCTTGCCCTCCTGATGGAGTTTCATGTAGCGCTCCTTTGCTTTCTGCTTCTCTATCTCCTCTCTGGAAATACAAACACAAATTGAGAAACCAAACAAATGTGGTTGGATTTCGAGGGCACATTGGAAAAGAAACATGCTTTTTGAACGACACCTACCTCTCTCTACGAGACAGCTCTTTAGGAGCACTTTCTTCCAGTTCAGCTACCTTCTTATTCTTCTGAGACACACGGTTTGGATTCTCAATCTCTATAAGACCTTCAACTCCATTTCTCCTCCTCTGTGTGAAGGGAAAAAATATATAACAAAAATCAACTAGGTAGACCAAGTTTAAAGAAATGTCAGGTTTGGGTTCCGCCTTGAAAAGTCAACATAATAATATACATTTTGACCTAAAGCCATAGACTCACATCAGAGTCTTCATCACTGCTGCTTTCTTCCTCTGAATCCGAACCACTCGCTCTTTCTACGCCAGCTTCCTGTTAAACAATTAACAATTTAATAAGACATGGTAGTGACTTCATAGAGAATGCCATTATAAAGTTATTTTACTCACCAGGTCTCTCTGTGCTCGCATTTGTCTGTCAATCTCCTCTGGGTTGCTGAACTGCTTTCCCCGGCCCTTGTGGCCCTTTTTTCCTGCAAAAAAGGTCCAACATTTTCGTTTACAAGTTCCCAAATTACTACATACAGATCTGATGATTATAGAGGCCATTTAAGGTCAGTGCAATGATTGACATAAAAATAAAATAATTAATTAAGAAATGATTGGGAGACAACTGACAGTGACACGTGTGGTTGGAGATGAGTCACATCTGACGTTTACAAATGGTGTTCTAACTTTGAAACTACTTTCATTTGATGTAAATAATAATCGTAATTACGGCTTAAAACAGAAAATACAACTAGACATGTGTAATGTTTCAAATAAAACTATCGAAAAATTATTAAACTGATGTGACACTCATAATCGACATAAAATCAAATACATAATCATCACAAATTTAGTTAGCCGATGCTATCATCGGTACACATTGTACCGGCAGATCTTTCTTCTCGCTATATTTAATAAACTTCACTACATTCTGGCAAAGAACATGACTACTCTTGCTCTTGTTAGGACATTATAACAATTAGGACGCTTTCTGTGTCTTCTAGCGGTCGCTCACTACCGTCATATACAACATGCTACCCGGTTAGCATGCTAAACGATTAGCGTGTGTGCTTAATATAAATTCTTACAACTCGTGCTAACAACTGGCTAGCTACAATTAGCAGGACAACAATCGCGGTTAAACGTGTTACTTTCATTGTTAAGTACTTACCACCCCGAGGCATTATTAACAAAAGTGTTTAAATGGTGTAAGAGTCCACTACTGTAACGCCGAAATACTTTGACCGTCGAAAAGTAAGAAGAAACCGGGATCGAAGTGGGGTTGAAGAATATGGAAAAAAATACTTCGTGTCTCCCGCTGTCTACAGAGCAGGCTTCCGAATGCTGCAGTAACCCAGGGCAATCTGAGCATGCGCAGGGACCACTGATCAACAATCACGGTGTTAACAACGTGTTTACGGCAGTTGGTTCCAGGAATGTGTTAAATAACGTTCATTTTTTTCTTGTCCATATCTCCACCTATGTTCAGCTTTTATTTAATTCAATTTTTAAGTTTTCCTTTCATCCCTTTATCTATTTTCTGTTAAATATTTTTGACGAACAAGTAAATTACAAATGGTTTCATGCTGAGCAACAAATTCATAGCATATTATATAACATATTTAGATATTTAAAAAATAACGAGTAAAAATTATATATTATCATTCACTACCATTCCTTTGCTCAACAATGGTCACCCTCGTTACTGTGCATCCGGTTTTTTTTAAATAAGCCAAGTGATATATAGCTGAGGGAAGAAACTTGAAATTATGCTTTGTAATTGTTTGTTCTAGGTACACAGGTAACAGGCAGAATTACCACAATCCACACACAATCCATATTTTAGCAAAAAAAAAAGTAATCGTTTCAAATGCCACATTTCAATAAAATCGCATTTTAATAAGGCTAATCTAAAAGTCAAACAGCTGGTGCATGTTCATAAATTAATAAAAAAATTTATTAAGAATCTCAATACAAACATACAAATGTCAGCCTGTAATTATACATAAAAATGTAAATGTCATAGAAAACAAGAATAAGCAACAGTGTTTTATCTTTTTCCCTATTTTTTTTACAAAAAGGTTTTAGGCAATAAGAAAATTAAATCTCAGTAAAATAAATAAAAGGGAATAAATTAGCTTTATGTCTGTTTTTTTTTTTTAGAAGAGTAAAATGTAACAAAGAAATATGTTTAAGTAAACAATAAAAATGTAGATACAAAAAGGAAAGACAGAAAGAAAACGAAAGAAAATGAAAAAATGTTTTTATTAGGACATCACATCCGTCAATGCTGACTCTTCAAATCTTCCAGCTCTTTCTCTATCATGTGGTATTCTACTGTTGTCTCTGTCAACTAAAAACAAGAAGAAAAAGGTTTACAGACTTAGTGACAAGGGAAATGCATATTAATCATACATCAGAATGTCAGTGTGAAAATATACACCTTATACAAGCTTACCATGTCCATGAGTGTTTCAATCTTTAGTTTCAGGAGATTGTTCTCCTCCTCCAGTTGTAAATTTCTTTTCTTAAGTCGCTGCAACTCTCTGTTAGAGGTACTTCCACCAGTTTCTGTTAAAATAAAATGTTGAAGTCTTGATGGCCACGACTTACATAGCTGAAGTACAGTTGGATAAAGGTGTACCTGACAACCACTGTCCGTCTTCAAACTTCAAGCTCTGGCCTCCGATGTTAAGCGCAGGTGGTCCATATTCAAGGCCCAGTTCTATTTCTCGCGTTGAGCGGTCCAACTGCATTTGGCATGAAAGAGAGGTGTTACAGCAGTTTTGTCCAATGTACCTTTGGTGTAAGCTTTAAAAGCCATGAAGAATCCGCCTATTCAAAAAAAAAAAAATCAGAATCCAATTCAAGTTGTCCTAATATATACACTGCTCAAAAAAAAGGGAACACTAAAATAACACATCCTAGATGTCCAAGTGAGGCTGAGTAATGCGTGTGGCCTCCAGGTGCCTGTATGACCTCCCTACAACGCCTGGGCATGCTCCTGATGAGGAGGCGGATGGTCTCCTGAGGGATCTCCTCCCAAACCTGGACTAAAGCATCCGCCGTCAGGCCCTCATACCAGCCTCATGGAGTCTGCTTCTGGCCATTTGAACAGACACATGCACATTTGTGGCCTGTGGGAGGTCATTTTGCAGGGCTCTGGCAGTGCTCCTCCTGTTCTTCCTTGCACAAAGGCATCGGTAGCAGTCCTGCTGCTAATAATAGGCCTATAATTTCCACCTGTTGTCTATTCCATTTGCACATCAGCATGTGAAATTGATTGTTAATCAGTGTTGCTTCCTAAGTGGACAGTTTGATTTCACAGAAGTGTGATTGACTTGGAGTTACATTGTGTTGTTTCAGTGTTCCCTTTATATTTTTGAGCAGTGTAGATTGATCCTGGGTTCGATTCCCAGAGGAACCACATGCTTGATAATATTATTATAAATCGCTTTGGATAAAAGCGTCTGCTAAATACATACAAATGTAAATGTAGATATCAATTTATTCCCCCATCAATTGTTTGGGATTTTTCTAAGAAGATAGGCTGTAGCCAACAATACCGTTAACTTTGTTTACCCACCTTCTGTAGTGAAAATGAATTGGAAACTCACCGTGTGAAGACTGGAAAGGGAGGCTGATTTCCGAGGAGGGGTCTTTTTCGGACTGAACGTGTTTCCAAACAACGGCATCCTTAGTGACCTTTTAAGCTCCTGTGTGGTTTAAGGTGACAAGAGTTAAGATTAAAGCCCACAAGCACTAAGCAGCCAGTGTTTGTTTATGGTTACTAACGGTGCATTATTACCACGCTACTGCTAGATGGCTAACACTACAGGCTATATATGGTTACTGCTCATACCTGACTCTTAAACGAAACTGTCGAGTGCGTCAAAGGCGGGTTAGTAGTTTGTTTTTGTCACTGTAAAAATACAGGTTACATATTTACCTCCATACAGAATACGTAGGAAAATCTCTAACTGGTTCGAGGACTTGTTTCGTCAACGAAACGATATTTTCCAAAGCGCACGCGCGACTTCGCCATTGTTGTAGTAAAAGAGACGTTTCCAACAAATGACTGCGTGAACCTACAGTCAGGCGATGCGCAGGGATTTTACAAAAACGTCACTTTGAATTTAATAAAAGAAAACTATATATATAAGCGCATTAGAACAGTAGTTTGGGGATTTGGTTTCTAAAAGATCCAATAAATGAACATAAACCCCCTCTCAGGGAGAAAAAATGGTACAATCCAAGGGCAGAGACATCGCTATGGTGATCGTATTCTTCGGCTTCACCATGCGTTTACAGACGTTTAAACAAATTGGGGGGCCTAAAAATGTCATCGGTAAGTTACTGATACAAAATTGTGGAGAAACACTATAAAATCCATCCTCACGCCGTAGAAGCACTGTTTGCTTTTTGTATGTGTATAATATAATATGGTAACCCTGTGATAGTACTAGCCCCAGTGGCCTAATGGATAAGGCACTGGCCTCCTAAGCCAGGGATTGTGGGTTCGAGTCCCATCTGGGGTGAATATTTTTCTTTTTCTTTCTTTAAAAAAAAAAAAAAAAAAGTAAAACTGGTCATTATGCCAGTTAATTCACAAAATAACGGAATACCCAAGATACTTGGTGAAATGCTTCATTGACGCTGAAGCTTTTCCTTTAGTGTAAGCAACTATAACTTTTGTTAGCCAGAGATCTTACAATGAGCTTAGAGAGAGACACTCTTAGACACTTTGGTTAGCAGACATGGAGAAGCAGAGCTTCAGAACGCGTCTCCTGCTGCTGAGCTCTTTAGCTGCATCAGTGCACACTTACCAGGAGTGCTGTTCTTACCATGATGCCCAGTATTCGTACATCAAAGAAATTATAACATTTCAGTTGCTTAAACCTGTGGCTGGATTTTCATGTGAAAGTTGGCTATAACTTTTTAATAGTCTCATTCGTGTAGGTACTTAAAAAATGAAATAAAACTTGTTTTTCAACCCATTTTGATTGATTTTCCTTTAATGTATTTTCCTTTTATCCATTTCATATTGAGAACTTCCAAGGGGTTGGAAGCTCTCTTGAGCCAAATTAGTATTATTATGAAGAATTTATTTATTTAATCTTGACATTGTCCTGATTTCTAGGTTTGAGTACACCATACCTTGGACAGGATTGTGCAGTACTGCAGGGTGATTGTCTGAAGGGATGGTTAATGGCCAGCTATGAGTCAGTTGAGGTGGGACCCAACAGATTTAGGTCCTGGATCTTCAGTTAATTTAGGGCTAATAATTAACTACATCTTGGAAAGCAACAGAACGTTTATCGCATTGGCTCTGGACAAAGAAATTATTATGTTTGCAGTCTGGACACAGGTCAAAACGTTGAACCTCTTCGGTGGGTCGCCCTAAAGACACTGTGATGTGAAAACCAACCAAAGTCTGGACTTGAAATTACTTAGTTAAAGTTAATTACCTATTAAAGACATTACACAGACTGTAGAAAGTCATGCTGTATAACAAATATTTCTGTAAAGTCCATATTGGTGATATGCTGAGGAAGAGAAAGTGTCATGTGACCCAGTTTGTATTGAAGCTCGCCGCTGCCTCACCTGGGATTTCTGCCTTATATTTGATTGCGAAATACTCAAATTCGGCGATTTTACTAATGTCAGACATGTGTAGAGTCATACTGAAAATGCATCTTTAACACGGATCAGTGGAAAATATTAATATTTATTTTATGTACTTTTTTTATCATAATGGTGAGGTGCGGTCTCCTGACCGCACGTCCAGATTCCCAGTGTTCATGGAGGAGCCACACAGGAGACCACCTACTTCCTGGCCGGGCCGGGTACCTGGAGGGTTACTTTACTGCTGGGGGAGATATATGTTGTTTTTGTTAAGGAGTCATTCTCTCTGGATGATCCACAGCACACAGGAGAAGTGGGCAAGGTAGCAGATGAAACCCAGGAGAAACCACGACTCTCTCTGGAAGCAGATGGGACTGATCCTGGCCCAGCTGGATGGACTCCATGCTGGAGCTGCAGAGTGGCTAAAGATCAGAAATAGAGAGGTGGGAAGAGGGCTGAATATGGAGCGGCTTTACGTATCATCATTTTTTGACACTTTCATCCTTTTCTTTCCAGCCACTATCCCTGTGTTGGTGACCTTCTGGACCTGATCCCAGCTCTAACACGCCATGCCAACTCCTCCACAGTTGCTGGCACATGCAGGATGCCAGGAATGGGCCACTGCACTGCTCTCATAAAGGTTAGGCCAAGCTCATTTGCCTCACACTGCGGGGGAGCACTTTACAAACCTTGCCCATGACCCGACATCTCTTATTGTGAATCCTCAAGTGTTGGAGGTTTTATGAAGTGTTTCAGTGAGTGCAAATAGGCCATTAACCTGCATCCATTTAGGGAAGAAAAATGTGCAAACAGAGCTGAGAGCATAAGCACTGCAGCATAATCTGAATTCTCTTCACTCTGTTGATTTTAAAAAATGTGAGCATTATGACTTATTTTTTACCATGTCTCAGGTGCTTTCAGGCTTTGAGAACTTGCTGCCTGGACACAGCAGCTGGTTCTTCCATGTACAAATCACAGAACACCGAATAATAAACTACAACATCAATGTATTAAAGGGCCAGGCTCATGTCAGACGACCTTGACATTTTCATTAAGGCGATTGGAAGTCAGCTCAAATCTTATCCCGACATCTGCAAAGCACAGAAAACTGTAGATGCTGACAAGGAAACAATGCAAGTGCAACCAAACACAGCCGCCATCAGTCTGTGGAGTCAAAGGAGGCCGAGTAATTCAGAGTGCAAAGATTTAGCAAGAGGTTCAATCTGTGGAAATCCTCTTATGAACACAATTGCTTTCAGAACACAATTGGTTTTTAAGTCCTATTTGTAGAAGCCTGGAGACCAAAAATATCTCCTCAATAAATTAAAAAGCAGAGATGGCCAACTGGATGGAAAGTGTTTCCAAATCTTTCTGCTAAAGCAGCAGCTAACGCACATTTACTTTAGCTTTAGTGTAATAGGAAATGATTACCTAAATGTAAATATCTGTTTCAAAAGTAAAACATGTTGCTCCATAACATGTGATGTTGTCATACAGTATGGTTTGACACTAACTGTGAGTTGAAAAGATTCAATTCTGCCTCGATTTATTTTCCCCTCCTTTATCAAATAGTTCCTTTTCAGTTGTGCCTTAAAATATATTTGCCTTCCGTTTCCTCTAAACATGACCACACCCTTGTCCTCTTCCTCCTCACCATCCTCCTCTTCCTCCTCCATCATGAAGGCCTGCTGACGTCACTGGACGACTTCCACCTGCTCGGAGTGGTCTGCTGATGACTCAGACCTCCAGTGGCATCTTTAACACCTCGCTGTTCTCCGAGGTCACTCCTCGCAGCTTGCTGGCCTGGCACAGAGTTTGCATGGCCAACAGAGAGTGGGCACATGTTTTCTCCCAGTACAACGCAGGTGAAATACTGTCAGACAGAAGTGTGTCTCTTGAATTGCTCTTTTTTCATTATAAAGGCTACATTCACACTGCAGCCAAAAATAATCAAATCAAAATTGAGCAACAGGACCTGCAGTCTGAATGAAGCCAAAGTCATTGAACTGGAGGGATGTAAATTCATTTAAAATACACAACTAATGCATTTAGACAAACAAGTAATTTGGCCTGAGAAGCATTTTTTAAAAAGTCTCTCAGACGACTGTCGTTCTTGTTCTACAGCACTGGTGTGTGTTAATTGGGCAGCTGCTTTGATCGTTCACGTCATGTTGCCATGGAGGGGCGCAGGAGAACAGGACAGAGTGTTCTCAACAGTGACTATCCTCTCACTGCCTCACAATCCTGACAAACTGCTGTGGTGGTGAACTTGAGAGTCCTCCACAGGGTCAGGTGTAGAATTTACAGTCTGACCTCAACAGGTGTGAAGGAGATCATTCATTGTTCCTCCATCTGGTCCATGTAGGGACAAACAAGACTTTGCATGCATTTCCTTGGAATCTTGTATGCAAGCAGTGTGTTATCTAACCTTAATTTAATTTTGGACAGAATACCTATAGAGCATCATGTCATTGTCCAGTTGAGTCCTAAGTCCTGTAGGCCAGGGATCCCGAACCTCCAGTCAGTACCGGTCTGTGGCTCTGGTTATAATTTTTCCCCTCATAATAAAAAAATAATAATAATTCTGAAACTACAGACAATCTGTTCAACTGATGCAATCGCATTTCATATTCACAAAATGTCAAGCTCCTAAGAGAAAACAGTCAGGAAATCATTGAAATCACGTGAGTGATAAATGTCAGAGCATAACATGGGACCTGTAACCTGAAAAGGAAGGTTATGTTGGACCTCATTAGAATTCCTCTTCTTCATACAGTGAGTTTATTAGACTAGACTGTTGTCTTAGAAGCCTCACCACTTCAAATTAAAATTAAATTAGTGGAAACAACCAAATCAGAGACCTTTCATTCCTTGAAAAGGTCATGTTTAAAATGACCAGAAGCCATGAAATGTCACAGAACCCACTTTGGGAAAAGCACCAATCAAAGCCCTAATGCCAACGTATTTTTCCTCAGGATGTGCACAGCTCTGATTTGTTATTCTGCAGCCCTGCTCATTTCTGTGTGACTGTACAGGTGACAGACTACCAGATGGCCCTCCAGCTGGCTGCAGAAGCAATAAACGGCCCAACTACGCAGGGGGGTCTGCCGCCGTTATTGTGGCAATCCTTCCACCTCACGACTCATCAGGGTCTCCCTCATACTTTCAACTTCTCATTCATCACTGTGGGTCCTTCACTACAGCATCCCTGAAAGTGCAGAGTTACAATGAGGATGCTTGACTGCACTTTAGGCCACGTAACGGATGAATATATGGAAATTGCAGGAGGCTGTTAAATGCCTCTTAACCTTATGCACTGAGCCTTTAATTATTCTTTAAATACATAAATATAGACAGGGGACAAGTGACTTAATTGAATTTCCTGCTGTACCTTGGTTAGTAAATGTAAACTTAATGTGATTAGCCTAATGATGTTACAATATGTCAATGTCTGATTTATGCTACACTGGAAATGTATACTTGTCATTCAATTAAAGACAATTTGATGTCAGTGTTTTTATTTACACTCTAGACGTTAATTTGAAAAATATGGAATTCTTTGTGACATTTTTAGTGATAATAAAAACTACACATCCAAACTTGATTTTTGTCAAGTTTGTCAGTGAGGTTGAACCACAAACAGGAGACATTATTTTATACTTTTATACTCTAAAACAACACTTTTATTTTAAAAGAACGCTTAAAATAAATAAACATCGCTTTTAACCTGAAAGAACACCAGCTTTATTCTGAAGGACCGTGGTTTTATTCGAAAAGAACACCACTTTTGTTTTGAAAGAATTTTCCGAAAAACTTCTCGTCTCATTTCCTCCTCCACGTGCGGTCGCTGGTGTCTTAAGAGCAGCGGCGGACTGGTAGTGTTAAGGCGGAGCTTGTTGCTTCGGTCATCCACAGGGAGAAAAAGCCCAGTCGTGGATACAGCGGAAACGAGCGGACGCATTCACTTCACGTCTCGCTGCTCCTTCCAAATGGCAACGGCAGCGACGGACCAGCGGGAACCGGCGGAGGACGACTCTGCACATTTGTCCACGAACCCCAGCCACCAGAACCCGCATCAAAACAACGCATCAAAACAACAGCAACAAAAATAACAACAACAATAACAACAACAATAACAACAACAATAACAACAACAATAACAACAACAATAACAACAACAATAACAACAACAAAGACAGCGAGGCGGCAGACAGCGGGACCAGCGCCACGGCAGCCGAGCCCGGGACGGCGACACACGGCGCAGGTAACGGCACGGGCATCAACCCGAGCGGGGGAAACAACGGAAAGTGGGTTCGCTTGAACGTCGGAGGAACGGTGTTTCTAACAACACGGCAGACCCTCCTGAAGGAACAAACATCGTTCCTGTACCGACTCTGTCAGCAGCAGGACCTACATTCAGACACGGTGAGTCCACAATAATCCCCGCTGACCGGAACTCCTCACAGCAGGAGTCATGAAGACCGCACTTGACTTTCCATAGATTTGACTGTGTCTGTGGTAGTTCCGGTCTAACTTGGTTGTTGTTTTTTTTAACCTCTTTTAGAATAACGTGTTGAGTTGTTTGAATAGTCAGACATTCCATTAGTCAGTTAATCAGCATGTAATTACCTTAGGATGATCAAGAAACCGATGATGAGTCGACAGAGTCTGATAAGCCAATCAGATTGCAGCAACTCAACCCGTACAAACAGATTAGAGATTAGACATCCAACTGAAATTCAAATCGATCATTGTAGTAGGACTCACTGTACTGGGACACACAGTGGAAACAGGGATATCCATGCTTGCCTTAGAGCAAGGAAATCACCAGTGTGTTGGTTCAATTCCCTGTGTCCCAGGAATACAGAAGTATGACCTTTTGTGTTTTGATTCTGTGTTAAAGTCTTGACTTATTTAAAGTTAGCTGGGTCTTTCCCAGTCTTGATCACTCTTGGCATGACGACACAGAGAATTCAAATTAAAACATAATTGCAACACCACTGACATCTAACACTATATTAAACTAATATATGTGCTATCAGGCTTCGAGCTTTTTCTCTAGCTCTTAAAACTGTAACATCCACAGCACACCCTCACAGGTATAGAACCTTAGACATACTGCACGGTACCTAACAATAATGTATACGTGCTATCCTGGTACCTGATGGTAGGCTCAGGGTTTCGGCTGCAGGTTTGAATGATGTTAATCTATTTCATTCTTGATGGTAGACAATCAGAAATACAGTATTTCTCAAAGATTGCACAATAATGTAACATACTTCAGTTCGTGCGCAGTCACATTTTAATCTGCCTGTAATAACCTGTGATAGTACACAGATTTAATTCAAGTACTCCTGCTGTGTACGTCATGAACTCCCCAGTACTGTTCACATTTAGTACCCTGTTTTACTTTGGGCTCCAGTTATTTAACGTACACCAGTCATCTTCCTGTTGTTTGTTTTAAACATATGTGCCCACTGAAGCCTTTTTAAATTCATCTCCACTCCCACCTCCAGAACTGGCATCACTTTTCCTTTGACCAATTGATCTATACTGTAAATGCACTGTGAAGCTCTCTCTCTCTCTCTCTCTCTCTCTCTCTCTGTGTGTGTGTGTGTGTGTCTCACCATCAGTGTGGTGTGAATTCAGCCTGAGTCAGATGGATGAACACGTGCCTCCTTTTCTACAGGGAGCTGCTGCACAGTCAGGAGCTGCTGTACAGCTGGCATCTTATAGGAGAATAGAGAGAGGGAGAGACAGAGAGAGAGAGAGGGGGGGGGGGGAGTAAAGCATGTATTATGTTCCTTCTAGTCACATTTAGACGTAACACACTGTAGGGAGCGGGCAGGAGCAGGGCTCATGAATGATGCAGGTGCCTATTATGGTGAATGCATGTGGCTGTGGTGCAGTGGGTCTTCATCTCTGCCTTGGCTCTGCTGTAAGTTGACGTTAAGTGGTTCAAGACCTCTCCTGTGGCTGAGCTCTTTGTCAAACTTCTGCTGTCTGTGTGTCTTAAGACATAGCTCTTGCCATTTGAGTGTAAGTGGATTTTTGCAAAAAAGTGACATTTAAAAATGTTCATACCTGTGTAACTATTCAAACTCAGTCCGACATGGATGCCTTTAAATGTCTTGCAGAACTGTAGTCAGGAGTTATTTATATTAGCCTGGCTCACGGTAGGAGTGATGATGGTTCCCCTGCCACAGTGCTAGGCTTCTGTGGAAAGTAAACTCCCCTGTGACCTTCAACCATGACCTGGCAGCAGCTCAGGAAGACACATTGTCTAACAGAATCTCTGCCTTGGCACAGGAATACACAAACACAACCTTCAGATGGTTCTTCAGTTTAATCACCATCTCCATCCTGGCTTCACCTCTCAGCGCTAAACTGAATTTAAATGCGTACCATGCACATCTTTTCACCACCTCCACAGACTGGTCATGATCAGGGTCTTGATTTCATAGCAGTTTATGTCAGGTGCTTGGGAAATAAAACCTGTGTGAGAAAGTGTAAAACATCATCAAAACAGCTTTGAAAAACCAACAGAAAACACTGCTGATGCTGATGCTGGGCGGTCACAGTGACCTGAAGATGACTTTTCAGCCATGACCAATTCAGGTGCTGTGTTTTATTTCTTCTTCACGAGACAGAAGATAATTTTATCTGCAACAAAGTCCTGCTCTAATCTGCTGACATTATTACGTCTCCTCTCAGGGCATTGTGGGCTGTTTTTAAAATACCCTCCCAAAGTAACACACACACAAACACCGACTGCAGTGTGTTAGATTGTTTTCTACCACGTCTTCTACTGCCTACCCCTAACGGAGCTGCCGTCTCCTTTATGAATTTCTTCGTGTCTCTTCAGGTGCATTTCTTTGGAAAATCTTTCTGCATTCAGAGCAAGTAAACATTTTCTCCGGTGTGAAATCTCTCGTGTCTTTCCAAACGCGTGTCCTGGGTAAATGTCTTCCCACATTCGAAACAACAATATGGTTTTTGCCACGCATGGAGTGCACCCTTTTCTATAAATCTTTCGACACACTCGGAGAAACTAAATGGGTTTTCTCGTGTGCAGATCTTCATCATCCTCCTCCTCCTCCACCATTGTTTACGTAGGTGTCTGTATATAACCACAAGTGTTTGACCTCGGATATGAAACCCCTTGACTTTATCTCACACTGAACAGATGATTTCACTTTGGCTCTTTTTGACTTTCTTTTCAAAATCAGCCTGGATTCCACCAACGTGCCCAGACTTACCTCCTCATGTGAATAAATACTCCAATGATGTGTGGACTTGTCCCTTTTTTTTCCAAATTTATTAATCATTTCTGATTACACAGCACAACAAGATCAGACTTGTTTACCACCACTAGTTCACACATCTATGGTTGCCAGATTAAAATCAGTACAGATCCTCTTCGGATGCTTATTGAAGCACTTTAAGTCGATAAAGTACAGTTTACGTCCAGTAATGCCTCGTGAAGGCATCACCAACAGAATACAGAGCTGTTAACCAGAACAGGACCTTAAATTAAAACGTGTTATTACCAGTGCAAGGGCTGCTCACCGCCTCCTACCTCAAAAATGCCACCAACGCTGTGAAGTCGTTTCTTCAGCCAGACCATCTGTGAAGCCCAGAGTGATAAATTAGTCTGGTTGGCAGTTTAAAAACATTTTAGCTGAAAATAATATGTGTAATATGTGCATGTGAGGGCAAAAGTGTTGACAACAAAATGTGTGAATTCTGGTCGGCAGGACTGTAAATGTTTGTAAAGGCGTTTGTCAAAGATTTTTAAAATTTAATGTGATGTTTATATTGATGTTCAGGAGGTAATTAGCTAAAAAAACAAAGATAACTCATAAATTATTGATTTTGCAATTTGGCTGCTTTTAAGAGTTATTGACTGCTCGTGCTCACACATGCTGATCTGAGAAGGAGAACACAAGCAGACCAGCTGTATGTGTGTGTGTGTGTGTGCTTTGTTTGACTACCTGTGATAAGACAGGGATGTACGCACTCTCCATGAGGAAATGTTGTGAAGCATTTAATTTTCCCAAAACAAAACTCCACACGGACTGTAAGAAAAGAGAGAAAAACAGATCACTGAAGGGGGAATTTCCCAGAGATAAATGAGAAAAAAACATGACATGAAGCTTCCATTAATAGTTCCACTTGTTCATCTTTTTTAGCACAAGGGTCAGAGTTGTGCTGTTAGTCGGACTATTTTCCCCCAAACCTTTGATTGACTAATCCAAAATGACATGATGATCTTGTGAGATATTTGAAGATCTAGTGGGTCACATCCTAAATACAGACAAAAATCACTGTCTTCTGTGCTGGCACGGAGGCATCGAAGGTTTTTCTGAAGCCTGCAGCCTTCACAGTCAGTCAATAGTCATCACCTTGTGTCTAAGCTTCCCTTGTGACAACCCACTAAACTGTGTTCTGTTTACATAATCAACTGATGCCACTCATTTTCCCACTCCCTCTTAATTCCCCCACTCTCCCCCTCTCTGCCTCCCTGGGCATGAACGGCTGGGTGTGTTGGCGTCTACTGCTTCTTCTTCTTTTGTGACTCCAGCTCTAAGAGGGAACTCAGCCTCCAGCGGTCGTCATGAGGAGTGGGAGGGTGCGCGTGCATGTAGGTGTATACCGTATAGTGGAGGGATAATAGTCATGACATNAGGGAGGTGACAGGAGCTGTGGACTCACGTTGAGTAACGATGGTCGTCTATTCAAACTCCCGTGTCCCACTACAGCAAAAGTGGCGACAGGAAGTTTCTCAAGAAGTGCGGAAAAATGGCAGAAGTCCATTTACAACAAACAACAGGACTTTATGGAAAACAAGAACCGACAAGTGCAGACACTGACTAACAGTTCTCCTAATTACATGCTGTTGTTCAATTCAGTTTTTTTATTTTAATACACAACGCACTTCCTTATTTTTCAGTTGTACAACCAAAGACTTTTATTTTGAAGAGAAGGTCAACTGCAGTGTATCTCACTGGCCAACATCCAGTGTGGGAAGCCAACGCTGCATACATATGATGGAAATTTGAGCTGGTGAACCATTATGCCTAAAAATAGTCAATATGTTGTTAAAGGGCAGGTTGTGGAGGAAGTAAGAAATGAGTTCCAAAGAAATACTGCACTTTCTGATGAAAACACACTTTAACTGGGCCTTTAAAAAATGATTCACTTTATTAACTGGATTATGGCCATAAGGTCTAAATTGCTGTCCTGGTCTTACTACAGTAAGTAGGCAGTATGAGTAAGGCTCATGTGAACAAACAGCCTCTAAGATGATGTCACAGCCTCGAATAAACAGTCATTTCTGCATGTTGAAATCACAATGAAGAATCAACTGATTAAATGACGAGTCTCCATGTTAACGGTTTAATAAGATGCAGCTGGGATTATGTTGGTTAATCTGTCGTGGCAGAAGAAAAGAGGCTTAGAGCATGTAGCTGATGGTGTGATGGCGCTGTAATTAACCTGTCTGTCATTTCATCTAACAGGACGAGACAGGTGCCTACGTGATTGACAGAGACCCCACCTACTTCGGCCCCATCCTCAACTACTTGAGACACGGAAAACTGGTGTACAATAAGGAGCTGGCTGAAGAAGGTCTCACGTCCTTTCACACTAATATTCTTCTAATGCAAAATGGTTAGAGGGTTCAACAGGGGCTGCAGTTCTTAAAATGGTTTTTACAAAACCTTTATGAACAGTCTGGTACCAAAAGTAAAGCTTTAAAGTGTCCAAAATAAAGAGAGATATAGAGAGATTAGAGAGAGAGCTGACGTGTGTAAAGGTTTAACAAAAAAAGATTGGTAATGGTAACAGAGAAAACATGAATTGATTAAAGCAGTGTATGAATTAATAATGTATATTTAATATAAACACTGGCTAAGAAATGGCTAAAGGTTACACAAAATGAATGTGGGAAAAAATGTTATTGGCAAAAATCAGCCAAAAACAACTAAATTTAGTAAAACATGTGGCAAGAGAATCTAGATAACTACAAACAACCATTTAAATATCAACCCCAAAATACAACAAATACATCACAATGCCCTCAAGTTTGCTGATGCCATCACAAAAATTTGGAAGATGTAAAAAAAATGTCTTTTGTATGAGTAAAAAAAAAGTAAATTATTTCTGTGTATTTTGACTATTTAAAGGTGTCCTGGAGGAGGCGGAGTTTTACAACATCACACCACTGATCAAACTGATCAAGGAGAGGATCGTGGAGCGAGACTCTAAAGCCACACAGGTATGAGTGAAAGACACTCAATGAAATGCAGATGTAAATAAATAAATACAGATGGACCCGTTTGAAAAATACCCTGAAGGATGGACACTGCGGTGCTGTGTGTGTGGTCTTTCTGGTTTCTTGGTGATGTCACACTTGTGTTCTTCTCTGCTCTGCTACCCCAGGCTTCTCTCTCTCTCTCTGGATGATTGCTCTGAGCAACTGTCGCTGTTGTTTGGTCAAAATAAATGTGTTAGCTCTCCTCTCCATTAGCTGGACAACAGTCTCTTTATTTCCTGGTTGTTGTTTCATTTATGTTGTGTTTCTACGAGGTGACCTGGCATCGACTCCGTAAAAGCTCACTGACCCGGTGGCTTCTGGTTGCTGAGTGCCTGACATGCTGTATTAGAGCTTCCTGTGTGTGATGACCTAGATTCCATTAACCTCTGCACTGGAAACATTAGGGGTTTTTTTCTGATGGCTGCTTTACTTCAAAGGTCAATACTGCAGTAGCGGCAGAGTAACAGTAGCATCAATACTGTACCCCTCTCTGTCTCCTCAGCAGGTGCCCCCTAAGCATGTCTACAGGGTGTTGCAGTGCCAGGAGGAGGAGCTGACACAGATGGTCTCCACCATGTCTGACGGCTGGAAGTTTGAGCAGGTCAGCGTGCGCGCCTGCAGAAAGCCCCGCACCGGACTGCTCTGGACTGTGGGTTGGACTCACGCTGCTGCTGACCCTTCAATATTGACCCCTGGCCTGACCCCTTGGTCCTGACCTGAGCCCCACTGTTTGCACTTACATACAGATAGGTTTAGGACTTCAAACATTCAACCAAACTTCACTTTGTCTTGTAGACACCACACTATTCACCGTAGACAACACCTAACCCTGGGGTGAGAGTACACTCCAAACCTTGAAGAGCTGTTTGGTTTGGGTTGCAGCCTGGCAGGAGTCTCACTACTGTGGTCTCTTCTGCTGTGTCTTTAACAAGTGGACAGTGTTGCTGCTCTAACCAATATTGTTAGTCGTTGTGTTATTAATTTTTTTATTGATCTCCAGTAAATTCAACATCAGCAAAGAGCTTATTTTTAGCACAAGCTCTTCTGGCTAATTACTTAGTCTTCAACAAGTTTATCAAGCTCTTCTAGTGTACGCATGTTTTGAGCGAGTGATAAGAAGTGGGTAAGTGTGAAATTGAAGTACACACATGCTGTAAGCCCTGCAGATGCCTCCTCCAACATCAAATTATTATACCGCTAAGCCACCGAAATTACATGGTTAACCTGGGATCTTGACCCGGATGAGTTTTCTAGAGAAGATTAACAGCATTTCCACAGCAAGTGTTTACGCTGCTGCTGTTATTTTTAACACCTGCAGAAGACAAGTCAGCCTGACGGCAACCCTGCTACGAAGGACGTTGTTTCACAAGTTGTTTTACATTTGTCTTACCAAAGGAGTATTGAGTGAATTGATCTAATATTAGTTTAGCAAAGATGGGATTTCATAGGGGATTATGTAAAGCAACATCTACATATAAGGACGAAACAGCAACATTTTAGATCATTAGTAGGACAAATCATCCATTCATCTTTAGTGCCCACACCAATACTGATGCAGCCAACATTCTAGAGCGCACTCACTATCAAACTGTCAAGTAAAATCTGAGGCTAAAGAGCATCATGATGGAGGCCAAAAAATAATCAGTGTAGTTCAGTTGCTCTTTTGTTTCTGCGTGCAGACATACTACCTCAGTGGGAGAGAAACATTTTGGGTAAAATACTGACGTGATTAGAGACGATCAGCTCCACCACCGCAGTCTAGATGTCAGATAGAGCCTCACTCCCTCACTTTCACCTACTGCTTTGGCACCCAGCTCCACTGCATGCTACACTGCTTTGAGCAAAAGATGCTTCTGGGATTTTTTTTTTGGTTTAACTGCAGGGCTGTCCACTGGTCTGTCCCCTCCACCCTCACCCATCACCCTGCATGAGTGCTACAACCTTACAGTTTGGGACTTGAGCTGTCTGACCTGATCTCTGTTCCTCCCAGTGACGCTGACTGTATCTCTGTTTTCTCTGCCCTTCTCCTTTTTGTCTTTTTTTTTTTTCAACTTCCAGATGGTAAACATTGGCTCGTCGTACAGCTATGGTACAGAAGACCAGGCTGAGTTTTTGTGTGTGGTCTCCAAAGAACTCCACACCCCAGGATCTGGTCTGGGAACAGAGCAGAGCCACAAAACAAAGGTGAATTAAAAACAACATCTTCCTACACTGACACATTCCCACATGGATGTGTGTTCAAAGGCTAGCTACAGAATCAAGCTGTGAGCCCGTGTGTGTGTGTGTGTGTGTCTACGTCCTGTCCTCCTCCTGTCTGTGTTGTGGTGTGTGTGCATTAGAGAGGATGTGTGTGTCTGGAGTGTACGTGAGTGTGCTTTGATCGTGCACCCTTCACTCAAGGCTCCAAATGTCACTCTCTTCCAAATGTCACTGACAAACATTCCCTCGGTCCCTCACCGAGCCTCTTCCTCTCTTCTCTGCTCACATCGATCCCTGTCCATTTCTTATACAAGGATATATAGGTACAAATATATATCTGTCCCAGTGACTGCCTCTCACTCTCACACTGTCCACTCACTGACACTCATCGTTCATTTTTTTTGTTGTTGTTTTTGTCTATTTTTCTTTTGTGCTTTTTTTCCTCCCTCTCCACCCATCATGCTGATGAATGAAGGCGGCGGAGATGCAGGAGGAAGAAGCAGCCAAGAATGAGGAGGAGGAGGAGGAGGAGGAGGAGGAAGAGGGAGGGAGAGATTCCACACCCAATGAGTGGCTTAGAGAATGAGGGAGTCATGTTTCTTTGTTCCAGAGAGGAGGTGGGAATGGGTGAGGAACTGTGCTGTAGATGTGTTCGTAGGCAGATATGGTAGATTCTAGTCTCTCTCTCTCTGTGTGTGTGTGTGTGTGTGTGTGTGTGCAAATGTCGGGGTGTTTCATGCCACTGTCGTCAGTTTAACCTCTTTAAGCCACATACACGCAATGAACAACGTTTTCTGGTTTTCAATCCAGGAGCGTTGGACTTGTGGGAAATGTTGCATAACGCAGTATAAAAATAATCAAATCCCTTCTGTGCTGTTACGATGCAAAGAAGAAACGCTTCTGTGTCCACACAAGGCGGAGGGTTTTTATTCCACACACTGCAAGGCTCCGTATATTACTGCAGCATAACTACAAAAGTACCAAACGGGCCAGTACTTTGCTTTCATTTGGACAAGTACGCACTTTCACTTAGAGGATCTCCCAGTACACGCTCTTGTGTTCTGTCACCAATGGTCCCGTCTGCAAGGAACTGATGGAGCCATTCACTTAAAGAAGGGAAGCTGCAGAAAAAGACAAGAGGTAGTGGCAGTGGTCACTCACCAGTGACGACCATGTGACCAGAACACATGACCAGCTGGTCGCAAACCGGTTTTTGTTCTCAAACCGCAGTTGTTTTCTGATGGAACACATGACTTGTTCGCTGCAGCCCTAGCTGTAGGTTGTCAGCTCGGCTGGAGAAGGTTTACCGTCTGCATCCATTGAATCTCTAATAGAAAAGAAACAGCCTGAAATGTATAGTGATGACACAAATAAATGCTGTTAGCTCTGAAATAAGGTAAAGCTAAAACATGGCTGCAGCTCAGAGCCTCTGTCGTCCTTTATCATATAGTGATATGAAGCTCAATAAAACCCTGCACCTGGAGAATGATTTTGACTAATTCAACAGTAAATGGAAATGTCTCGTTATTACGCTGTCGTGAATGAGCAGCTTTAGCTCACAGCCTTGTTGTTCTTGAATGTGCACGTGCCCAGTCTGCTCCTGCAACCATCAAATGATATCTTAATTGATATTGATGGAGCTCACTACTGATGCTGTGACATGAAACACCCCTGACCTTTTGTGCAAAGGTGGTCTTGGATGTTCTTCCCTGTCTGTGGACCTGCTGTATATTTAGCCTGTGAGCCTCACACAGGCATTCAGCCACACAAATATAATATCTATTATTTATATACATATATACGCACACACAAATATACACACACTCGCTCCAGTACATGGCCACAACACCACTGGCTAGATTTATGCTAATATTTTACACCTTACGTAATAGTGACATTAGTTTGCACCCATCTGTCTCCATTGTCCTCATCGTCATGGTCATGTCTGGATCATATGAAATGAAGGTTGATTGTTTTGAGCACATGAAACTGCTAAGATTCCTTCATCTCTAAATGTTGCTCTTCTTCCTCTTATTTTACAGCTTTTCCAAATCCATGGGTCACGGATTTAAGAAATGACTATAGTCGTTCTTCTTCGCAACTGACCGCAACAGTTATTTGTGCGCTTGAGTGTCAAGTCACTGGACTGTCACAGAAAAAAATTAAGTGGCAATGTGACCAAAAAAAAAATCATTATAAAGACTATTTATCACATGACCAAAAGAGAACGCAAAGCCCATAAAAACATTTTTTCACGATAAGTGATTTCACTTTTACCAGACGCTGTAGTAGAGCTTAGTACATAACAACCAAAGATCCAGATGAAGTAAGGTGCTGAACTACACACTACCAGACAATGTCAAATAAGGGTGAAGAAAATTGATATGGTATTGATCGGACAGAGAGGAGCAGGATCCTGCTGCATCACTCTGATGCGGCTCAGCGTAGGCCAATAGAGCAATAAAATCAGATTACATCTGTGCTTTCCAGTGTAGATGATTATATTTCCTAATATAAACACAGCAGACAGAGCCATTCATCAGCTGAGCTAGGCTAATCCAATATTCCAGGCACGAGTCATCAATCAGTGATGGGAAAACAGGCAGGTGGACCTGTGAGGACCGAAGAGATTTTAGCCCAGACTTCAAAGATGTTATCAGTGGCCGGTCAGGAGGAGTCACCGCTCCGCTGTGCACGATAACCCTAATGTAAACCTTGTGTTCTAGTGATGTGGTGGTGATAAAGTGTAAAAACTGTAGATTAGTGCTGGCATGGTTCAGAAAGAGCACACGAGTCACGAAGAGAAAAAAAATCCATAGTCATCCTCGGTCAACTGTGCAGGTGTAAAGCTACTGAAAGAGATATTTGACTTCTATCAACCTCTGCTGGCAAATCGTGGGAACTTCAACACACCTTAAGTTCTACTTCGTCATGGCTCCAATACTCCAATACTGCAGCAACCCTCAACTACTCCTGTGCCAGTCTGTGAGACAAGGCCTGGATCAACTGTGTGCAAGATTATACAGTCAAATTAGCTGGATTAGTAAACAACCAGGGCATTAACCACCAGGTGACATGCAGTTGTTAGATATTAAGAAGTCATTTAAGGATCAGGACGTAGACCTGGAATGGTCTCCCCCTGCTTTGACCCATGCCTCTGACCGCTTCAGTTCCCACGATGCCCCTGACGTTCAGATTAAAAAAAGAAAGTGAAACCAAATTAACATTTGATTATTATAGTAGCTGCACATTTGCCATTTACTCTGCAAATCCAGAGGCTCGCTCAGCCCCACAGTAAATCTTTGCTTGATTTGCTGAGAACAAAAAAAAAATTCTGATACTTCATCACACATGACACAACAAGCAGAGCGAGTTACACCGCGAGACAATCGCAGCCACAGTCCTCCACTACTGAAATGATAGGTTGCAAAAGGAGTGATTCTGTGGAAAAATTGATTGAATAAATGAGTATAGTCCTGGACTCTTGCAATACCTTCATAGTTGTATTAGTAGAATTAGGTACATGTGTAAAATCATTGTTAAGGAGGGAAAAGACTGTAATGTGTTTTTATCATTCAGTTCATTATTTTTATCTCAGATTAGTCGGTGCCTTGAGTTCAAGCAGAAAAAGTGACTCGTCTTCAGCTCATCGTGTCACAGTGGTTTGGTTGTTATACAGTTTTAATATTTGTTTGATTTATAACAAATATACATGTATTATACAGTGTTTTTAAAGTTTAGTCCTTGAGAGAAGTGTTTCTCAAATCATGGATCAAGGCCCCAAAAAAGGACATAGAAATAAATGTTTGATTGGGTTTCACTGAACCTTATGCTTAATTAAGCAACGGAGATTTTAATTCAACCCACCATGTAATGGTACTCTGAACCTGATTTGCTAACTCAAGCTAAAGCTAACCCGAGGCAGAGTAATACTAGTGATGACAACTCTTAAAAATGAGGCTGTGACTGAACAACTCAAATAAACTTTTGGTCCCAAGACTTGATCATTTGAGATCCACTGCTCTGGAGTCTAACCTAATCTAGGTCACACACTTTCCACTGTAAATGACTTCCTGCACATTGCTGTTAATGATCACGTTATAATTGAGTTAGAGTACACCCTAAACACACAGCTGCATGTTGTTGGAGGTGATGCTGCTTGAAGCAGCCCTTGTACAAGGTTTTTGGGTCTTTTATTGTAAAAAGTTAATGCCTTTATTTTGTACACTTTTTTGTTATCATTTAACTTATTCTTCAGTGTTTTTGTTATGTTCGTAGAGACAAAAATGGGATTTGACTTTTTCAGAGAAGGGAGGGAAGATACGACATCACAGATGAACTGTTTGTGTTCCACTGTTCTGGTTATCTTTCAAACGCAGTCATCTGGTGAAGTGAAAATGCTTGTTTATTATCTTAGTACATGTAAATGCTGTTGAACAGACTAGAATAGTTTGACGAGTTTTCCTATTTAATGAAAACTGTTTTAGCGTCAGGTTAGGTTCTTTTTTTACACCTCACTTTGTTTATCCAGTTTCTTTAACCGCTGGATTCACACTGAATTGTTTCATTTTGTTTTCTATCCATTGAATGGTTTTCACCTGATATTTCATACGCACACTTTATACAGACTTATTCATTATTATTTACAAATTACAGGTTTATTTGATGCTGGACTTTGCTGCTGTCAACAGTCATGAAAACAAAACAAAATAAATCAGTGTGACCCAAGATTAGTCAGGCTTCAGATAAGATAAAGAAGCTTACGTTAATGACCTTTTTTAAATTTGAATCAGCTGTATTTCAACAAAAGCTGGCCTTTTTTTTTTTTTCGAAAAGCAAAAAGATTTTGCTCATGAATGTCACTTAAATAATAAAGCATCTCTTGGATAAAAATTGTTTTGAGACATTTTATTCCAAATGTTATAATTAGTTCATTCACCAACCAGCGTTCCAGGAAGCATCATTTCAGCTATTTTTATATAATTCTATAACCAAGCATAATAAAACCAAGAATATATAGCGGATTTGAGCAAAATGTGACTTACCTTTTGTCATCCAAATGGGAATCAGTTTCTCAGGTATACCACTAGAGGGAGGCCAATCGCCGGTAGTACAGATACCATGACTTTTAATAAATAAAAGAAAAGAAAGTCATTATTACCAGTAAAAATGCACTGGTTTCTTTTTCTGAACGATGTTTTAAAAAGGTCTCAAACACTGATGAGTGTGCGCCAACCTTCACATTCATTTAGCCGCCTATCCAATTTGTTTGCTTTTAAGATGCAGTAAAGATTTACCAGCGGAAATTAACATCGTCTTTTTTAACAGGCATTTAGCATGGGCGTGTACGGTCTTACCTTCTCTTGTAAATGAAGCCAGTTAACCTTTAAACGTTTATGGACTGAAAAAAAAGTCGTAAAAGTAGTTTCATCTTCTGGAAAGTTCTTTGTTCAGATATAGGCTTTCAAATGACGCAAAGACAACGTGAACAAACATTTTTTCACGTTCTGCTTTGCCATAGATAGAAGGTAGAAGAAGAACAACGGTACCAGTTGACCACAGACGCCCCCTACAGGAAGGCATAGGAACTACTTGTCCCATCACTTCAACTATAAAAGGTCCGTCATTAAACCGGTCTAGATAAGTCTATAAGTAAAAACCACTTTGGCTGAAGTAATGACAAACTATTGACAGTAAAAACATATAATATACTGACATGTAATTCAACAATCAAGATGTTTATTGGTATGCAAACAAAAAAAGAGACATATATTTACAAAAAGAAATTCTGGATAAAAAGGTGAATAAAAAAGACATTGGACACGGGTGATAAAGTGATGCTCACAACTGAGATCAGATTTGTTAATTAGTTAATTTGTTAATTAGTGACATTGACAATATGTGTACCAATGTGCAATTTTGTCATAGATTTTGGAGTCATGTTGAACATGGTCATTAAATGTAGCATGAAAAAATCTCTCTCCACCTGCTGGTGTTTTTTTCTCCACTTCCTCAGACACAGTCATCTCTGTGCTACAGAAAGGTGCTGAGTGTGTTGTCCACAGTGGCCAAATGCAGGTACTCGAGGTGCTGACTCTCAGCCTCCGCCTCTGATTTCCCCTCCTTGCTTGGACGCGGTCGCTTCTTCCTCCGTACTGACTGTCGGGAACGCTGCTCCAGACACATCAGGATCATGTGAGCCAGGTCCTGCTGGAGCCGCTGGAAGTTTTCTCTGGAAAGATGCACAGATAATTAGTTATAAATATATGTATATGTGACATATTTAAAAGGAAAAACTATAGGAGCATTTGTTAGACATAGTTACAAACTTAAGTATTTTAGTTAGAAAAGCACTTACTGTTTCAGTAAAATTCTCTTAAGAGTCCAATCTGAGGTGTGTTTTTACTCACCTTGTGGGAGGAGTTGGGAGATCGTAGTCTTCCCCAGTTTCCCCCGTCAACCAGTATGTCGTCTCTGTGCCTTTACCCTGACAGACACCAAACAACCACAGTCTTTCCCCATCACACATTACATGGCAGTGGTTTCACTGAAAAAGTGTTCTAGTTTCCTGATGGACGACGTACCTTCAGGTGCGTCTCTCCTCTCATCTCATACTCAAACCTACAGTCTGTTCTCTGCAGGATATTTATAGTGGGTTGACTGACGTGGATACGCAGAGCTGAAGGATGTGACAAACACAAACACTCTGAATTGATGATGCAACTAGAACGAAGAGCATCCGTGTCAGTTGGTTGCACATGTGTACTCACGGTGTCCTGTTGACTCCATACGAGACGCCGTGTTGACCGTGTCTCCAAACAGACAATATCTGGGCATCTTCATCCCTACGACTCCTGCTGCACAGGGACCTGGACTCACAAATACAAAGGACAGTCTTACTGAACCTGTCAGTCACACAGGGTGTTAAAACCTTCTATCCTGGTCCTGTACATTAGCATCACTTTGTATTGGTGAAGGTCAAAATAATTGTTTTTGTTCAACACAAGTTCACCATCCTTCCACAGGATTTCTTATACATGTCTTTGTATTTCCTGAAGAGTCGCCCCCTTGTGGTTCACTTGTACTTCCACTGTAGCTCTTTACTTACCTGAATGCACGCCGATACGTATCCACACAGGGATGCCCGGAAGGTGTCGGAGCTGGAAGGTGCCCATGAACGACAGGATGTCCAGAGCCATGCGGCAGATGTCCACAGCGTGTCTGTTGCCATTTCTCTTTGGCAGCCCAGACGCCACCATGTAGGCATCACCTATGGTCTCCACCTGAAGACAGATGGACGTCAGACAGATGTTCTGACCAGAGATCAGCCACATGTCTGTTTTACTTTACCTTATAAACGTCGTGGTAGTCGACTATTCCGTCAAAGCCCTTGTAGATGTCGTTGAGCATGTCCACCACCTCCATCGGTGTGCTGTACTGACACAGAGTGGTGAAACCCACAATGTCACTAAAATATATGGTCACCTCGTCGTAAAGCTCCGGCTCCACCACACCTGTCTCCTTCAGGCTCCTCACAACTGGACTAGACGAAGACAAAGCACATACATAAAGTAAGACGGAGGTGGATGATCCACATTTCACACACACAAAGAAACCCAGCAGAAGACGTTTCTAACCCAGGAAGCAGCATGAAGTTGAGGCAGTCAGCTCTGTCCCTCTCTGCTTTGTATAGCGCTGTCCTCTCCTCCACCAGGTGTTCCAGGTTCTTGGAGTACATCTGCAGCCGTCTGATCATGTTATCCATGTAGCTCTCATTGTCCTGGTTATGAATTTTACTGCAGGACGGTGAAAAACACACTCATATTCTGTTTTCCTATGTGTTCACTCCGGGTCTGACTTCAAAGAAGACAAAAAAATACCTGATGATCTTGCACAGAAAGTTTTCTACTTTCTTGAAGTCTGGTCTTTTTTCTGGGTCTTCGTCCCAACAGCTTTTTATCAGCATATAAACCTTGGAGAACAGAGTGTGAAGAAACACAATAGAAACACACAACACTTTGAATTCCTTACATGACTCAGACGAGAACAAATGAACTCACCTCTGCCTCTTTCTCTGTTGCCGTCTCAAATTTAAGATCAGGTCTAAAGTAGGACGTCATGACCCGGGCCAGCTTCTCTGTTAGAAAACAAAAAATACAGATCCTATTAATCCTCTCTTTCTCAGAGTTGCTGTTATCCATTAGAAATAAAAAACAAATCAGGATCTTTATGATTGACTTCCTTCATTTTAAAGAGGTCACTGTTAGACTGTGAAGGTTCAGTGATACCTGCTCTGTCTCTACAGGCCCCTGTATAAAAGGTGCACTTCCTGAGGACAATCTCCTGAGAGATGATGGCAAAGCTGTACACGTCTCCTTTCTGAGACGTGCCGTGTTTCCTCAGATGCTCTGGCGCCGTCCACAGGTCTGAGCGGAGATGGAGAGAATGTCAAGGAAGTGTAGAAACTAAGGGCTGCACAGCAGTTGTCACAGGCACACGGCAGTCACGGCTGTACCCTTTACAGGACTCAGGAAGCTGTTGCAGCCAAAGTCTGTGATCTTCACCACCATACGATTGTCCAGGACACAGTTTGTGGACTTGAGGCGGCCGTGCACCTGGATGTCGCTGGAGTGAAGGTAGGACATGCCCTGCACAAAACATTCCCAAACGTCAAATTAAAAGCAGACACAGAGGCAGCATTGGAGAGTTCCAGTATATTTAGATTACTGACGCCCTCTGGCAATTGCTGGTACTGCACACACAAATCTCACTGACGGATTAAATCAGATGTCTTCAAAGTTTTTCTGTCCAAGGACCATATACAGAACCTTATTATTTATTTTATCTTTACATTCTGTGCAAGTTTGCTTATATAACAGGTTCATACATTCATGTTTTTATTTTACACATGTGAAAAAACTTTTAGATCGATTGAAGTCTAATGAACTAACGTTTTGACAAACCCCTGGGAATATCCCCATCAATCCCCTACATCTAATTATTTGTAGGTTTTTTTGTTTTTGTTTTTAACAACATTTCTATTTCGATTGTACTTCTAAAGATAGGGCTAAAGAAGGGCACCATTATGGTGTAGGTATAGATTTAGATAATGAGTGACAGATTGCATACATTCAAAAATTAATGGGATGTAACAAAACAGTCTCTGCACATAAAAGTTACTTTGTTACTGGTTTATGCTTTGACTGAGAGAAGTAAATGTCAAAGGTGAACATATGGCACCTGCACTCCTGCCCTTCATAAACCACTTCTCTCATGGTGTGTGTGTGTGTACGTGTGTGTGTTACACCCCCCACCCAAAACCCACCACTGCATACATTATAGCACTCAAGAAGGACATAACGTTCCAGCTAAAGGCCCAAGTGTCTGAGTCACCTTGGTGATATCATACATGACGGAGATCTTGAACTCCCAGTCCATGAAGGTCTCCTCTGGGTAAGAAACCTTGTCATTCAGTACATACTGGGGAGAGAGGAAACAGAAGATTATGGCAGGAAATGATGGCTCACTTCATTTCATCTTCAATGCAGAATTAATCCAGAAGGTATTTCTTTTTTCTTTCTTTCTTGACTTTACTGAGAATAGTTGCATTGTGTAGATAATACATGATGTCTTAAAGATAAATAAAATATTCAGCAGCACAAAAATGGAATGATAATCAGGAGAACCGCACATAAACACTTGAATTAAACCTGGAAGCTGAACGTGCCAAGATGTGCAATAAAGCCAGTGATACCTTTACTGTCCTAGAACAATATGGATTACAGCAACCTTCCCATAGCTGAGTCCAGAGCCAGCTATTGACAGAGGCCACATGGGTGCTGTATATATATTTATCATTTAATGTCTATGGCACAGGTCGTGTAATGTGTGTGAAACCCAAACCTTGAGTGATCCTCTCTCTCCGTACTCAAAGACTCCAAAGACACCCTGTTCAATCTTCACTGTCCCGTAAAACTTAGACAGACTGTAATAGTCGATGTGTCGGAGCTGAGGAGGGGAATAAACAGGGATGATGCCACAGTTTTAAAACCAAACTAATATGAACTGTCATTGTCTGTGTGGGATGTACAGAGTTGAGTTCTATCCTCTGTTTTTCACTGAAGTTTCCATCGGAGTGCTTCAGCTCTTTGAGAATAACAATCTGAAAGAGAAACATAAATTCAGCCACTTTGCACACTGTAGTCGCTGCAGTGTTGCTGAATTTGATGTGAAAACGACTTCCAGGTGCAGTGTTTCGTTAACCTTCTTGTCGTATAAAGCCCGTCGAATCTGAAAATTCTTATTTTTGCCTTCATTTTCAATCTGAAAAGGACAGAGAAAAAAAAAGTCCAGTTGTTTTGGTTATAAATTAAAAATATATATTAAAAACATTGGAATACAATATTTTTTATTTGATAATTCATTCATTTATTCCAATTAGCATAATTTGAGTTAGCCTCTGCTGTATTTATTTACTCTTATACATATAAAAACATAACGACGACACGTTATGGTCTATGTGTATTTAACTAACACGGGTTATAAAAATGGACTTTGAAGTGAACGCAGTACATTAACTTTACATTCAGTAGGGACCAAAGTTTTACGTCTCCTGTACCTTCAAAGAGATAACATTCAGTTTATCATTGTCCAGCAGAGAGATGAAATCTGAAGGGATGTGTGACCAGCGTTTCCTGAGGCGACGCTCTGTCTTGTTCTGCCTGAAAGAACCACCCAACATTCAATATCAAGCATTTTATAGAAACAGTGAAGGTTTCCTGTGGTCTTTGTTGACTGTACCCCCCCCCCCAAAAAAAAATCACCGTCACTCACCTGTAGAAAATGAAGGCGATGGTGGCCACAACAACAATCGTAACAGCCAACACTATGACAACAATATCAGGTGGCGATATACCTAGATGTGTGCCGAACAAACAAAAACAAATCCAGATAAAAGCCTGGTTTAAAGGTCCAATAAATACTGGTGGGTAACTGATGACAGCTGGTTGTTCACTTGTGACAGGGTCACGACTATAGATGGATACAGAGCCAGGCCAGGCTTAAAGACTGCAGGACTCTTTACTGAAGCTCTGGATAAAGAGGATGAACAGTTGAATTATTTTAGACTCAGTGTCCATTATTCTGCCCCTGCCTTAAAATACATAAACATTTTTAATCGTATTAATATCACATAATAATTAACACAATTAATGCTTTGATGTTGACAGTTACAAGTACAAAGTATGCATACAGTACATGTGTTAGAAAACAAAAGGAATATTGCTTTTAATGGTGCGCTTAAAGTGTATAGTGGTGTAAAGGTGCTGCCCTCTTTTTATATTTTCTAGAAATAAACCGATTACAAATAGCCCAGCGGGTGGCAGTACTAGGTTCAAAAGTGTGAGTGTGTTGTTGTCTGTGTATGTATATGTGTGTTTAGTTTTACCATATTCTGGTTTGAACTCAGGAAGTCTCTGCCCCCAGATGAAGGTAGGATCCTTCTCCATCACTGTGGTCACGTTGGTCTCAGTGTCAAAAGATAATAAAAGACGATACTGAGAAGCAGAGTGGAGACAGTGTGACAGAAATTCACTGTGAAAGTCATTAATCATAAATGACAAAATAGAGAGTACCTGATTGTCAGTGCTTGTGTATATGACACTGAGATTCACATCTCGGTCTCCAAAACTGTCCAGTTTGTAGAGTCCAGCAGTTCCTGGGCAAAATCAGACAAATATATTTAGATACAAAAACACATGCCGAAAGCTGCACATGGACCTCACGCAGCTGCAGTGTCCACACACCGACAAATGTCAATAAACACAAGTCCTCAGTGACAGCTGTGGAGAGCCTCCACCTGTGTGAAATCACAGTCATCACTGTCAGCAGAGCAGGAACCAATCAGGGCTTCTGGATAATCCATGTGACTCTTACATTGATGTCATTTGTACAGCAAAACAATCAACTAATAATTTAAGTGTTTAGTTTAGGGTGAAAAATAATCCACTCATTCACGACTTTGTATTGTGTGTGTGTGTGTGTGAGAGTGTGTGTGGGGGGAAATGTAGCAAAGTGTTGAATATCATCTGTTCAACTGTCCTGAGAGTGAAGTGTGTCAGATGGGAACACTCCTCCCTCCTCTCCTACCATTAAAGGTTGTGTTCCTGAAGTAATTCACGTTGACATATTCCATCAGCTGAGTCTCAGCGATCGGTTTTTGTACCAGATCCCTCATCACCTGTCCTATCAGCAGCACAGAGTCGTGGTACGCAGCCATGTAGTCGTTCATCTGTAGAGAAACAGGAATGTTCAATAAGAAAATGCCATTCCATTTTGATCTTGGTGACGAGTAAATAAGTGAGTGAAACGTCCTCACTGTGTCGTTTCCTTTCAGGTCTGAGTGGATGGTGTAGTTTCTGGTGTTCGGCATCGTCACCACCAACACATTCTTCATGTAAGGTAGGGATGTTATGTTGATGTAATATTCATCACTGGGGAAAAAAAATCAGCTATCATGGCACCTTTCAAAAACGATTCATCACCAGAGAAAATCATACATTTTTCTCTGATTCAATTCAAAGTTTTTATTTTAAATTTAATTTCTAATGTAGCCTTTTCTCTTCTGCTAACCTATAGCTGGTTTCGGCTTAGCTTGATGGTATTCTTCTGCTAATTCCTAGCCATAGCTAACCTCTTATGTTCTTAAATAATATACCCAATACTGAGGAAAACTCCATGTCAGCCCTGGTGTCAGATTCATAACTGCTGTCACTGGTGACATTAAATGAGATGAAATAAAGCAGAGTCTCTGACTTGTAGAGATCCAGGAGGATGAAGAGGATCTTGTTGCTGTCGGCCGCAGGGCAGTTCTGTTTCACCACCAGCATATCTTTCGGAGAACCACACATGATGAACACTGAACAAAAAAACAAACAAACAAAAAAAAAAACCCACCACAGACACACTGCTGTTACAAGATACAAGATACAAAGATACAAAAACATAACCTTGATTTGAAACAACTACAAATAACCACATGATAATAGTAAACAAATTGTTAACTAAATGTTAGCCAACATGAGGTCACAGAGGTGTCAGTTACATAAATTCATTTAAAAAGACAAAGGTTATGTTTGAGCAAAAGCATAGCAAGAAAGACCAAATGAACAGATGTGACAATATCTAACGGTTAGCCCAGACTATTAGCCAAAGCCACAGTAATCAAACACGTACAGTTGCTTGTTCTTTTTGTTTTTGACTTCAGAACTTCATACAAATCATCCGCTCTTCGCAGAACCGTTCTATTAATGTTTCTGGAAAATGGACTGGTGCCAACATCCATGGCCTCTATATACCTGCAGACAAAACAATATCACAAAAACAAGGAGTAGAAAACAGTTAGGCACCAGGGGGCAACTCCTGGTTACAGAGAATAGAAGACACGTGAAACTGAGGGGAACATTAAAGATTCAAATACTTACTCAAGCTCATATTTTTTCTAGTTTTAGCTTTTTTGACCAAATTTTGATGAACGCCTTATACTTTCTTATCTTTTGATCTTTTGAATAAATTCCAGTGCAATTAGAACAAGTCAATCAGGACGGCATTTAAAATTTTAAATCCCTAATTGGAGAGAGACTGACTCACCAATAGCAGTCCTCAGTGTTGGTGGTCTTGTAGACATAGGCCGTCTTCCACTCTGGTTTAAAGTCGTTTTCTTCTCTCCAAAAGCGGATGAAGAAGTTGGTGATTTTTCGTGCTGGTGGTAGAAGGCGGTGCAGGTTGAGGGCGTAGTCACAGGCGAGACCGAAGCTTCCTGCGGAGATGATGGGTGTGCTGAGCTTCAGACCTGTATGTGCACTGAGAGAAGGAGGTAAAAGACAGAGGGGGGGAGGTGGGTGAGTTGGAGGAGGGGAAACCTTTAGTTTTCTTTTTTAAAATATTTTTAATAATTTTTTTTGTAAATATTTTGCAGCTTCTAAAGGATAGCCCCTTGAGTTATCTTTGAGCTCATTTGCAGCTTTTTAGTGCTAACTTTTAGCTAAACCTTACATAATGTGAAGTTTGGACTCCATGTTTAACTATAGAAATGATTTGTTTTTGTCTCAACCTTTTTGGGTGACATAGAACAATTAGAGCAGTTAAATGGACCAATGAGTTCCACTAAGAAGGTAATCTGGAACATGTTAAAACCAATGGAACTCTTTAGCTATCTGCTAGGCCACATTTTGAACAACAGGCTAATCAACCCTTTACAGCCCGATGTCAGACGACATTTCTGCGTTCGTGTGAACCTGTCTTGTTTTATGTTCTAGAACATACTCAACCATAGGGAGGGTGGCCCAGGTACAGGTGGGTCCCAGCACGGCACATCCCAGGGCTTTTGTGTCCTAAAAGAAAATGAACATTTTGTAGGATCTGAAGGTTCAGGGTTTGTTTATTTGTTCTTGTATTTGAATACAACAAAGTTGTCTGGTGTTATTGTTTCAATGAGAGGAAGAAAACCGACTGAAAAAAACACTGCTACTGCCACTGTAAGAATCAAATATGTAGATGTGCTACGACCAGTTTGGTCCACCAATCAGCCCCTCCTTTACAGACAGGGCCAATGGTCCTCCTCATCCCTCCTGCCTGGTACTTCACCTCCATGACTCATCAAAGAACGTCTTTGTTGACCTTTATATTGACCTTATATTAGAGACCCCCTTGCTGCAGGCTCTAGCTACTCACCATCAGACTCTTCAGTTCCTCCACCCCCTCACAGGTGGTGCTGAAGCAGCCTTTGTATTTATAGATGGTGGTGTTGAAGCCTCCAAAGTTGGCTGTGAGGTTGAAATCCAGACCTGTGATGTTGGAGGAAACAGACCAACATGTAGAATTATGAGTCAACTGTTCTGTTCATGGTTCCACTGTGGTCCAGTGAGTACAACAGCAGACACGGTGTCTTATCTGCTGCTCTATGCTTTCATAACACAATCTAGTCACAATCAGTCCACGCAATCTGGAATGGCATTCTAACAGTTCTTTACTACCTTTAACAATTTTTAAGTTTTTAGTTGTCTTTTAGCTTTTAAACCTATTGTAATAAAGTATGTTTTTCTCTTCTGACATTACATTTTTTGTCTTTTTGTTGTCATTTCTGGCTAATTTTAAGCTAGGTTTGCTTTGTTTTAATGAACTTTTACCTTTTGCTTATGTTCTAGTCATCTTTAAGCTAATTTAAAGCTGTTTCAGCTAACCTTTAGCTACACCTGTTGCAAATCGAATTCAAACTTTGACCACATGTATATCCGTTTACATGTTATTTAATTTTTTTTACCCAATTTGTCATTTTGCTCTTGGCCCCTTCCGGCTCGGGAACCTAGGCAGTTGCCTGTGTTGCCTGCACTGTTGCAATGCTCCTGTATATATATTTATGAGTTAATTGTTTATTTGTCTTTGTGTGGTATAAACCCTGGGTTGCCCAATGTTTGTTCGCCATAAACATCAGGCTGTGGCTCGGAACATTAAGTGACAATTACACTTAAAAGCTTCAGAGTCAGGTCAGAGTACGGCAATCTCATCGACTGGCCCTAATATTTTATTACAGCAACAAACAAACCATGTTGTCACAGTAATAAATCTCTCAAAAACAAAACAAAAAAATGTTTCCGTTGTTCCCCTAAAATCTGACTTTTTTTTTTTTTTTACAAATGACCTGTTTTGACGTTGAATCGTTTTTTGAGAACAAAGTAGAACATACTCATTATTATCATTAGCAAAATATTTTATTGATACATTTTGAAAACTAAAATATATACTTATATTACTAAACAATTTTATTACTAATAAAAGTATTAACATTTTACAGAGCATTCTCCTGTAAATGTTTCATTTAAAAAAGTTTCCTTTAATTTAAGGTCTTTTTTGTTTTGCCCTATTTTGTAGAATTTGTATATTTTTTGTTTTCAAACAGTATTTTTGTAATAGTAATGTGTTTTTACAGCATTTTCTTAAACCTGGGTGAAAACAGTTCATTAGACTATTTCTATTACCATAATTTTGCAATTAACATTTTCATATATGGTAGAAAAACAAATGCTAGAGTTTGGAGCAGTTTTTAATGTTTTTACCTTGGTCAGCGTTCACGGCTGCATCCTTCTCAATGCCCTTCAGTATTTCATCCCTAACAAATTTCATGCTGAAGGGAGAATCCTGATCATCCAGCAGGATCACGTTGATCGTTGTCTTCATCAGACATTGCCAAACGTTCCAACATGAAACAGGCAGAATTCCCAGGAAAAACAAACACAACATGCTCAATTTTAGCTCCATAATTCCTTGTTTTTGTATGGCATTAGGGACCAAACATTCTGAAGCAAAAATCCTTTAAGAATGTTCCTGAAACATCGGTAACAGCAGCTCTTCAACATCTGTTTTCTCGGCTCAGGTCTCACTTGATTTTGTTGGCCAGACTTTGTCTCCCACTGCATGACGAGTTAATGTTAATGTACAACCTGTAGAGACAGGGGTGGGGTCATATTACCATCTCACTGTGCTTGTGCAAAGGTTTCATTCAGTACAACCCTAAAACAGACACACACACACACACACACACTTAGAAATCAGACGTCCTCTAACAGCTGGGAAACTGCTAAACAAATATCAACTGTTTGAATAAATCACATCAATATTTTATGCAGTAATATTTGTCCCAGGGAGATAGTACTGATATCATTTTTGAAAAGATTGGATTTTGGTTTGTTAACATGGGGAATCAAACTGCTGATTGACTTGTTATAAGGCAAAAGCACCATTCTGCCATCGTGTGGCCACGTAATAGAAAAAGTCAATATATTTCCAGAGTGCATTGGGCTGTGCAAAATCCTACACTGAAAATATTGTGATGTGATGACGCAGTTATAATTAGAAAAAAATAAATAAAAAGAACAACAGAGAAGTTAATGTTGCATAGTACCTGGAGCATTATTTATGAGCATGTGCGCAAGGGACAACGACACAACTTAATCCACATTGGACGAAAAGATACAATTTACACTGGATTAGTCTCATCACATCTGAGTTTCTCACATATCTAGTTTTGGACATAGCTGGCACACGGCAAACAACTCGTAAATCCATGAAATACTCTGGTGAAAGGAGAAAGCAATTGGGATTAAAGAGAAGAGCAAAGTTCAGTCCAGGTCATAAAACCACTGGCAGATAACAGAACCTGCGTTGTGACACCAATCACAGACATCTCTTGAATATCAGTGTCAACCAGGAAGAAGATCTGGTCTTAACTTTACTGGATGGAGCAAATTAAGTTGAAACAACTAGTATTGACTTCACATGAAACTCAATGCTAACAATAGCATATAGCTGAATTAGCCAAAATCCTAAAAAAAGAAAGAAGGTAGACTTAACTCAATTGACAGCTAAAAAAGTTTCAAGTGACCACAAACCAAAACATAAGTAAGAGTAGAAATTGTAGCCAAAGAGCTACAAAATGAAAATGAACCGAGTGCCAGCTAAATATTAATAGCAAAGAGACTTAAAGTTGGCAGAACAGAACTTAGCTAATCAGCTAAATGTGGTGCTCTCACCTCAGCCAGGACGCCCAAAACTATTCTGGAGAAAATCTGAAACATTCGTTCAATGTCAAAATGATCCCAAATTGATGTGTTTATTTTAGTATAATAAATCGTCCTTGTTACATTACAGTGTAACAAAATAAAAACGTAGATAGGACACGCGCTCGCGAGCACGCGCTTATCAAGTTCCCACACGTCCGCTCCTGGGCACCAATATGAATCATCCATCACTGTGTGACATTGAGGAACCGACCTGAACATAGAGGTTAGACAAAGAAACTATAAACCAATGAAAACAATTTAATGTTAGCAACGGAACATGACGTCATGACAAGATGGCAGCGGGGGGCGGGGGGGTGGGGGTGGATTGGATGGATTGTTGAAGCGTCGGGCGTACGACCAACACTGGCCTGATGACGATACCTGGTGTTCTAGTGTCTTCTCGTGGCCAAACGGAGGTAACACACGCAAAAGGGGGGACTTTGAATTGAGATTTTAAACACGTACACACATGAACACCCCCACGTCTGTGAATAGTGTAGTTTTATTTAAACCTCCTTTTATCGTCTTCAGTGAATAGTGTAGTTTTATTTAAACCTCTTTTTATCGACAGTCACGGTGAATCAACAACGACAAACAAACTGCTTTTCTTTCACAATAAAAGAGTCTGAAATGACAGAGTTGCAAGTTTATTGTAACATGAAGTCACAGCTGTGGCAGAAAATTAGAGAATTCATAGAAGAAGAAGAAAAAGAAGAAGAAGGGGAGGAGGAGGAGGAGAAGGAGGAGGAGGAAGAGGAAACTAGATAACAAAGTCTTTAAATTTTAGTGTTTGATGAAGAACAGACCGACAAAGACTTTATTAAAATAAAAGCTCCAGCAGGAGGGACAACAGAAAGGCTACTTGTTTTTGTAAATATCACATAAAATTCACATAGTTCAAATTAGATGTGTTATGTGTGTATTAGTGGTTTGATTTATCACTGTAATAAAAACATAAAACCATAAAGTAATAAATGCTGATTGTAATCACCAACACCCAATGATGTCACAATTACAAATAATAAATAAATAATTAAATAAATAAATAACATTTTAACTTGTTTCTGGAATGTACCTTTAATGAAACTTCCTGAACCTTCTGCACAGATGTCAGCAGTTCATCACCATCACTGTGGACCAACTCAGCATATCTTTACAATGTTAGTGATGTTAAAATTATACTCTAGGACATAGTGACGCTGTCACCACAAAAAAATGAAGCCACAGTAAGACATGGACATGACTGTCTGGTTCTAAAGATAAAGCTACTAAATAAAACTACTAATGCCGCCTCCATCCTCTGCACAAATTCTTGCCTATTTGCACATTCCTCCAAACCCTGTCGCCTGGTTCCCAGCTACAGTCCTGATCACATTCTCAGGACAAGCAGCTACAAGAAAAAACAAACACTGATTTTGACTGTTAGAAAAAGCTAATGCTACAACATAAGGGATCGAAGGCATTCCTTATCACAGCTTTTTGAAGCTACAATACATTAATATAGCACTTGAGTGATGCTAACGTCATGCTAACCCGGCCTCGTGTCATCTTTAATACTTGTGATCGGACTAAAGGCAGTGTTTCAGAGATAAAAACTCCCACAGACTTTGAAACTGTGGACCTTTCCTGGCAGTGTAAGCAAACACTTTCTCTGAGCTAAGAGATAATAAAAAGGTAATAAATAAAAGGAAAAAAAAAAAAGCAAACCTCCACTCATTACTGAGTTCCTGTAAACACTGGAGAGTCAACATGGCTGAATTTGCTCAGATCTATATTTTGGCCTCAAAGATTCAACTTGTCTCAAAACATCTGATTTCCAAACTTACAAAAATAACCTCCAGATTCCAACTTTTATCCATAACTTTCAGTTAAAATTATAACCTTCAAGGAAAACGTTCAAAATTCCACATTCAAAACTCAACCCTCAACCTTCTACTCCAACCGTCTCCATCACTGGGCCAACTCAACTCAAACACTCCACACCCTACACCCCCCGTCCTCAGACCTGGTCCACATTCAGACCGTTTCCACCTCTGCATCTGTGAACGCTCGGCTCTACGAGCTGATGATCTGACCGGACCAGGTCTCGTGTTTGGTGCCTGGGTTCAGGTGAGTGATCACCACATCCACAGCCTGCAGCTTCTGGTTCTTGGGAGGAATGGGACAGACTTTGTAGGTGACCTCGTCCCCTTCCATGGGGACGTACTCTCCATCGATGCTGCAGAGGGAGTCGAAGGATATGTCAAAAGATTTGGGAAGTGAGCGAGTGCTGACTGCGATTAATGGCATTTCTATTGTTGATAAATAAAGTGTAATGTAGTTTCTATTTAATGAATAAAGAGGGTGATCAGTGGGTGAACTGGAGGGTCTGCTCAGTAAAAAAGACTCACTCAGAGATGTGGACAAAGATGTCTTCTCCTCCATGAGAAGGACGGATAAAACCATGACCCTGAGACCTGGAGAAGTTCTTACAAACCCCTTTAAAGACTGGACCTGATTTGGCTCTGACTGTCCTGCAGGAAGGAACAGAGACACAAGAAGAGAGACGAGAAACAGAGCGTCACAAATCATCACAGTCAGCTGACACTGATGAGACAAACGTTGACTCCCTGTTCCACTCACGCTGAGTACGTCCTGGTGCGTTTGGTGGGCAGCGGACTGGGCGGTTCTCCAGGCTGTGGTGGTTTCCTCTCCCTCTCCCAGATCCGACTGCCCTCCCTCAGGAATGGGAAGGAGAGATGCAGGGGAGTGCGAGGGGAGGTGAGCGGCAGCGAGGAGTCTGGGGGTGAAGAGGCATCAACAGGGTCTGACATCTTTGAAACGTGTCCACAAGTGGAACCGCAGTGTTTTGTTTTTGTTTTTTTTGGTTTCTCTTGAGAGGTTTTGTCTTCGCAGGGAAGAGGAGGAAGGAGGGTTACACCTCCTGCATGACAAGTGAGGAGGTGGAGGACAGATAGAGGAGGAGTAGAGAAGGATCACTCCTGAAATGAAAGAGCAGGAGAGGAGAAGTTATGTCACGGAATTCAAATTTCCTAAAGTATGGATACACTTTAATCGGATTTACTGCCTTTGGATGAAGATCAATATTCCAAAGTCAAAGTCTGATGTTTTTAACTAACATTGTTGTTTATACAAAAGTGAAAGTGAAGAAAATGATGTTACAAAAATGTCAACATCATAGTTACAGGATTTCATGAAAACCCTACAGAACCAACGTTGACTTCATCACAGTGTAAGAAAGCAGAATCCTCACTTCCATAAGTCTGTGGTCAAATGTCATACTGCAGCTCCACCACTGACACCAGAGCCACTTATTGGACTATAACTGTGGCTGGAGCTGTGGGGATCACACTCACATCAACCAGCTCATCATTATGACAGGACATGTGCAGTCCTGCACACAGACACAACCACATGACGTCTTTGTGCAGCAGTCACATGTCCACACTGGAACCTCTGAATAGATGTGTTCTAGTTTTTTGTTTTTTTTTTGGGCATCATTTGTCAGTAGCTGCAGCAGCGCTCACTAATGTGGGGCTTTTAAAAAGCATTCAATTCAACAACAACGTCACTACAATAACATTTACAATGATGTGACTCTTTCCTATTTCATTTTCTAATTGTCTTCGATTTCTAAGAAACTGTTCCTCTGACACTTCAGTAAAAGAATTGGTACAAAGTAGTTTACCTGAGGCTAGCCAAAATAAAGCTAGGTAATATAGCTTGAAACAAATATAACATTAATTTGATACTTGTCTGACACTGACTTCCTGAACAATAATAATCAGTTCTGGGACATACCATAGTAGACACTATTCTTACCATCATCATTGAACCCAACTGAATATCAGTCGAACTGATTCAAAAAGCACAGTAACAGTACCATTTTTGACCCTCTTGTTGACTAGTTCTATTTGTGGAATATATCCCGCGGGCACCTTGCTCTAAGGATTTAAGATGTCAGAGAACCACATTCCAAACTTCAAAGAGTTAAAACTATAACATCCTTACCTGACTAACCTTTAGCTGTTGGTCTGCTAACAGTAGCTGAAACTACTTTGTCATCAATGGACAAATCTTCTAACAGCCACTGCAGAGTAAACACGTATGTGGTTGTATTTATGTATTTCTACTTCTTTGTTCACTGAAGGCATTAAACCCCAGCAGTGTGTGAGTTCTAACATCTCAGCATCTTCTGATAAATGACAATCATATTACCTGAGCCAGTGTTAGTAGCTCATGCTATAACATAGTCAAGGAATTACAGTAGAGACGCTGCAGCAGCTCAGGGTGTAAAAATAGCAGCATGACTCAAAAGTTGCAGCATCTTAATGGCGCGCCCTCGTTGAGAGATCAGGTAGTACAAATGGCTGATGAGTGATGACTGAGGCTCTTTCATATACTGCTGACATCAACTTAGACACACACACACACACACACACAGAGTGGATGGAGTTGTTGATCAGCACTTACATCAGCACAGAGTCCTGTTACTGACACTGTTGCTCCGTGACAGGCTGTAAATACTGTAGGTTCGTTAGGACAGACTGAGTGAGGCTGGTAAATGAGAGGGTGAATTTGTGAGTCTGTGCATTTTTGGAATAAATTATTAAAAATTAAATATTAAAGGCATTTCTTTATTCCTTGTGTAGTGGAGCTGGAGCCAAACCTAGTTGTCAGCAGATCTATATTGTAATTATAAATCACTTTACTAAATATACAGTACATCAGGTATTGTGGCTATGGTGTGGGATCATCCATTAGTCCACAGTAAACAAAAAAATGGCTAATGTGTTGGGTTTTTTTTCACAAGCTTCTCTGGGCAGTTTGTTTGGAATACTGTCATTTCCATTGAGAACACATTTGATCTGTATCTGTCATATGTGCAGTGTGTGCTGGAAGCAGAAGTAGAGACAAACAAAAGAGCAGAAAGTGTGTGAAACAGGCCTCTGTTGCTCTTTAGACACTTCTACATCAGTATGGGAGGCACGTCAGCTCCCCTTCTCCCTGACACACACACAGAGACATGCCTTTCTATAGTTGACATCCATGCCCAAGCCCTTTAACAGCCTAAACTACAGCCTAACCCTCCATCTCACCATGAAGCCCTGGTCCTGTTCCTTAAATGGCCCTTAAAGTCTAAAAAACCCCACAGGTTTTACAAGAGATTCTGTCCAAACAGTCTAAACAAGATAATTATAGACACATGTAAACAAACTCAACCTGTGTTAAAGTTTAAATCAGCCGTTCAGAGAGGCAAACACTTTCATTTGTCTGACTGTGAATCTGGCTGCACACTCTTTAATAATGCATGGCAAAATAAAAGCCCCCCAGGTTGGGTTTCCTTTTTTTACTAGAATGTTCTCACACGAGCGAGGAGACAAGAAAAGAAGCGATGTCACCTCAGAAATAACATTATAATGATAATGAACGTATAAACGTGGCGCTGAAGTGGATTGAATGACGGCGGCTGAGAGGCTGGAACACCCCGGCATTATTAATCGCACACAGAGAACGGGTAAAAAAAACGCATCGCATTTGCACACAAAAGGCAGCGTCGTTGAATTGACAGCATCGATTAACCGATTACTTACAGTGCAGGCGCCGATCAGCTGCCGATCAGACCGGAGGAGGACTGTTATTATGTCATTAAATCCTTGTTGAAGCGGCGCAGAGACAAGAGGAGTCAGAGGAAGGTGGTGTGAATGGGTGGATGGAGGGGAGGAGGGAGGGATAGAGGGATGGAGGAGGAGAAGGGGGAAGGGGAGGGAGAGGAGGAGGAGGCTGTACCCAAACAACAGCGGGGCCTCAGCAGCACAACACTCACCCCTTTGTTCTGCACATGGATGATGGAAACGTTCCCTCATGTTTTGGTCTGGTCTGGAAGCTGGACGGACAGTGAGTGGACACGAGGCTGCTGCAGCCACAGGTTNATATAAGGCATCACGTGTTACTATTAAATCATTGAATAAAGCGAATACACATAGATACTCTGTACTGTAACAGAGAAACTAACGTTTCCTCCGTTTAGTATTAGTTACACGTTTCTGCCTCATAGAGGCCAGAGAATCCACCGGGTTAAAGAGTTGGTACACATCATTACACATGATTGGAGAGTACAATAGATATTAAAAAGGTAATTTAGAAAAGAATACTGATTATATTGGGTGGTAAGCAACCAAAATAGCCAAAGGTTAGCCCAAAGGCTGCTAACAGGAAGTCAACAGAAACAGACATTGTCATGAAGCTATAAAATTGCATAAAAACGAATGAACATTATGTCAAACGTTAATTTAAAGCTAGAACTTCTTTAAAGTTAAATAAATGTATTATTTAAAAGCAGACCAGAACTAGCTTAATGGATCGACAGAAAACGGAAGAGACTTCTTACATAAATACATGTAAACCCCAGCAGTAAATCAGACAAAATACTTGAATAAATACTTGAATAAATACGTTGCATAATATGTTAAAATATTTAACAATTCCAAGACTTACAAGTGGGACTCGGACCACATTTTAGGAATAAACATTGTGGTTCAGAACAGCATTTTGGTTTCAAGCATATAAATGTTTAAAAACGTTAAACATAAATATACAGCAGTAGAGGAGGCAGGTACTATACTGTAGGTCCGTCACGTGATGTGAAGGGAAAGAAAACTAGTACACCTGCGGCCAATAGAGGTCGCTGTCGCATAACACATGCTGTCAGGTACACATTTACACAAAAGCATTAAAGCTCCTGCTCCGTGTTCTACAGCGCCATCATCAGGTGGAGCTTTTCTTGAGCAGAGTCCAGAAAACTGGTTACTGTGACACATTCAGAAGCAGTCGTTCCCAACAAGGAGTACGTGGACCCCTGGTGGAACATAAGGAGATGGCAGGTACAGATGTAAATCTTGTTAATCATCAATTAGTTGATTTAAAAAAAATAAGAATCAAACCAAACGGGTAACAACTACAAGACGGATGGATGGATGGATAGAGTTTTACATGCCATTGGTATGTGTTAGAACACAGTGTTCTGACCTGTACAGCTGTGTGATGTGGCTGTACAGCAGCCACTGTAGTACCGACAAAAGCCTGGAGCCAGTTCATAACTCTGTCAGAGCAGATGATGACTGACCTAAATTCAACACACACACACACACACACCTCACATTACAGTAGGCTTGTGTGGACGACAACTATAAAAACAGTAACTGTCTTGTATTTAATGGATATAAAGATAAGGAGCCATCATTTCATAAACCTTATCTGTGACCTGATTCAATATCCGACACATCTTCCTTACGTTATGTTGGACTATGATAAGGAGTCACTGTGTGCTTCTCGCCATTTTTGTGAGAGTTTTTCAGGTCATATTAGATCTGCAAAACCACATGTGTCACAGACAGACTGTGTTTCAAATGTTAAAGAAAAGAACAAAATATCGCTTATGCTGCACAGGTGTCGTTTTCATAAACGACCACTAGATGTCAGTCAAGGTGGTACGTTAGAGAAAAACATCTGGCATCCAAAGGATTATGTCCTTAGTTTACAGGGCTGACGTCATCCATCAAATCATTATGTAATACTTGTATTTTACTCATCGTCAGCCAGTGTTAAAGCAGAAACATTAACATAGTGTTTTTGTGTGTTTCTGCCTGTTTAGCTATAGTTGTTATCTTGGTGACTGCTGAGTGAGGAGGTATTTGGAGTTGGTATTAGAGGGAGATTCAGATTAGACTCAGGGTAAGGTATAATAAAGTTTATAATAGTTAGGAATGCATTGTGTCTGTGTAAAGTCCTTGCAGAGCACAGAATCAAGTGTGTGGAGTGTGTGTGTGTGTGTGTGTCTGTGTGTGTGCATACATGTGGGAAGCACACAGCTCAGATTACAGTTGAGTGTATGTGTGTTTGCCACCTGTCAGGGTATTAGTCACCCAGGGAAGGATATACATACGCATGGCGGTTAATGAGTTTCATTATTCAGTAAAAAAAAGTTCTCACGTATCCTTGGACAGCAGCCCTGGAATAATGTGACGATAAAAACACTGCTGTTAACGTTTAAACTCTAAACATTAGGTGTTTGGTTAAATTAACTTCAAGTATTATTTTAGTCACCAGCCATATTTAAAATATATTTTGGCTAACTTTTGGCATTTACAACATAGCAAAGGTAGCTAAATGTGTTTTAAGAATATCCTAAAAAAAGGATATATGGGCAGAAGAAAAACCAAGACAGAAATGTGTCCAAGAAAAAAGGTGTAAAAATATGGATTATGTTTTATACGCATTTATATACACATTTATATTTAATTATTATATATTCCTATCTATATTACGATAGATAAGAAATGGCTAAATGTAGGCCCTGGAAGTTAGACACCTATTACAAAATATGAAGATAAATGTTAGCTCTGACAGCTAGAAGCTAATTTAAAAAAAAAAACATGGCTATTTCTGTAACATACATTTCTCATAGTATCTATCCATCATCATGCTAACAGAAACTTCAGAATGTCTTTAAAGAAGGTAGTAGAAAATATAATAATATAGAGGCCTAACTTTATCATTCATACCATACACTGTTATAGTGTAAACTACTGTATACTACGAAGGTTGTACTGGTCGTTGTATATTCACTTTATCAATACTGTTTGGACACCCTCAGGTGTTTATATTTTTCCACAACAGTCGTGGTCATGAACTCGCAAACAGGAAAATCTCGTCCAACACTATTAACCGCCGCCACAACAGAGCGTAGGAGGAGTCGCCCTTTGTGTGTGAGTGTAAATCAAACGGGATTGTGATAGTAGCCCGGTGAGTGATAACAACACTGGGCTGTGATATGACACACAGTGGGTCAGTCTGTGTTTACCAGCTGCTGCAGGAGACACAGGATGTGTCCATCAGGCTGCATTTTTCCTCCTCTGGCTCACGCTGCCTCCCAGAGGACAACTCACTGAAGATGGTGACACACACACACACACACACACTGGCTCAGTGTTGTGTCATACCCAGATTAGTGTGTGTGTATGTGTGCCTTCTTGTATTACTTGAATTCATGCCAAACAAGGTTGAGCCAACATTGTAACAGGATCTGTCTAAAATCACAGTCAGAGCAGTCCTCACTGTCTCTGCTGGGACCTTCAGTACTGACTGTACTGACCATCTATGGACTGGATCAGTGGGCCACGTAGGAAGGCAAACATCCATTCACACGGGTTGGGGTCATGGCGTGAATATGTGTGTGTGTCTGTGGATGTTCCTGTTTTCTTGCACTTCCTGTGCAGAGGGCTGCAGCTGGACTCTGAGTAAGAGGGGGAAGAATGTGGACACACATGGACTCCATCCTCATATTTCGGTGTGACAGAGGAGATCATTGCATCACTCAGAAACATTACAGACAAGAAAAGGAAGGGTACAGATGAGGAGCAGAAGGGGGCGAGGGAGAGGAGGAGTGTATTGTGTTGAGAGGGGCATGAAAACAGAGGAGGTAAATGGAGGGAGGAGCACGATGGAGAAAAGGACAGAGGAGAGGCTGTCGGGCATCCTGCCAGGATGCAGCGTCGGTGTGAAAAACGATGTCTGCAACTGCAGCAACAGACAGAGACGGAGGATGGAGGCATTTCTGCATCCGACACATCACACACACACACACCAAACAGTGCTGGTCTAGATCAGCTGAGGTAACAACAGGGTGATGTAATACAGTTCAGTGCAGCATTGTTCAGCAGTGAAACTTTTATAAATAGACGCTCTGCACCTTTTTTCCCCGTCAAGACTTAGACAACAAAGACACATCACAGTGTGTCCTTGTGTGTTGTCACAGTCAGCCTGTCCCCAGGGTGCAGCACATTCATTATCTTAGGTGGACCGACTTGTCCTTACATTTGAGCACAATGTCTTGTTTAAGGTGTGACAGCATTGACAAACCTAAAAATAAACATTGTTAACTGAGAAGACATTTTATTTTACCTTCATAATTATGTGATTGTAAAACATTTATGTTGCTCCGGCTGCAGCTAACTAAATTACTGTAAATCCACTGATTGTATATGTGACTGCTAAATGTCGGGATTGTCCTCCTCATTTGCTGAGTTCTTATTACTTCCATGTGCACTCTCTGCTCAACTGCTGCATTGGCCCGACTCCCCGCAGAGATCATTAATGTTTCATCCAATCTAATGGAATCCTGCTGTCACCGTGCACAGACAGAACCGCCTCGCAGTGGAGACAATGGAGCTCGGCTGCTCAGTTATGATCGTCTCCAAAATGATGTTTCTGAAGTGCAGCAGACGGCGCTGAGCTCACGCCGAGTTGCAAAAATGTCAGAGATCAGAGGGGAGAAGCGTGAAAGCATGAACGTGGTGTCAATTTACAGAGCAGCACAGCAGCTGATGAGTGACTGTGAGGCTCCTGTGAGCACCAGTACAGAGTGGCACTGGAGCAGCAGCAGCAGCAGCAGCAGCAGCAGCACAAAGGGTTAACCCAGCACAAGGGTTCAATGCTGCAGTCTGTTCCCATGTCTGTGTCTGTGATGTCCTGTAGTATAACATCATGCTAATCCACCTGTAAATGAGCTTCACAGGCTCTGCTTTCCGGTCGTCCTGTCCCTCTGTGGCTGAAGTGAGTGTCCACTCAAAGACAGGACAGAGGTGTTGGACGGAGGTGGTTTTGAAGAGGAAATGAATTTGAAGGCAGATAGCAGCACAGTTTTATGTTCTTATGCTGCATTTACTTTGAATCCTTTTTTCCACTATAACCTTCACCTTGTCTATGTCCAAGATATGGCCCTAGGGCCAACTGTGGTACTTCATATAGTGACAATCCCCACATTTTGGCATTTTTTCTTTGGCCTACATTTTTAAGGCATACAGTTAGTTATCTTTAAGCCAATTTTTAGCAATTTTAGCTGACAATGAGCAACGTGCTATTACAAATGGTCACAATGTTCTTTATTTTAACAGCAGCACTGCATCAGAAATCAGGTTCTCCCCATTTTCACCAACACAGGCACAGGTTGCCCCTGGCAACACATGATAAGAAACAGTAACAGCATGTGTCTCAGTGACTTCCCTTCATGCTCACTGCGCTCTCCCCTTAGTCAGACACGCACACGCACAAAAATCACACACAACAACTTTTTCGGACTGTTTGTCCAAACAGTGTACTGTGTCATCTGTGAGCAGTTCAGGGACACTGTGTCCAGTTGGGGACAGAAGCAACATCTCCACATCAGCATCAGTCAGCATTTCTGCCCTCAGTTTTTTTCTGTCCTTGCACTTTTCTTTTTTTTCCTCCTCCACTCTCTGAAGCTGTTTTTGTTGTTATTATTTTTAACTTGGGGCACAGACGTTTTTAACCCATCATTCTCCACATGTTTTATCTGCCGTTTTAGAGTAGAGTAGAGTAGAGTAGGGCTTTATTCATCCCCCTTGGGGGAAACATATGATGCTCATTCGACTTTTTGTCCATTCAGGCTTCTGTAGAAACATGCCAACAAAATTCAACCATAAATCTCGCCTGGCAGCTTCTCCAACATCTCAACCTCAACACAGGTTCAATCATCTCCACCTTAACTGTCCCTCTGATCTGCCTCTCTCTAATCACCACCAATGAGTACCAGTGAAGATCCTGATCAATCGAGTCCAGAACTGTTCCTGTGAGTCATCATTCTGTGAAGGTCCCACTGTGTAATAAATGTTTACATCATCACAAACTGCCACAGTGTCCTGTTCTGGCTGTGACTCACTCCACAGCCCCAACAGTTTCCAGATGCTCTGTATTTAAAGCCAGTCTGTCTGAGTTTGTGAGTCACCTTTCTCCTACTTCACTCCAGAGTCTCCACCTCCACCTGTGCAGGAGAACCAGAGGGGAGGTGGGGTGCTGGGTTACAAATGCACCCTACACCACTGTGTTGGTTCTGCTCTCCTTCACGGTGTCCTCTGTCTGAACATCACTTCCAGTCTACTGTGAGGCCTCCTCTCTGATGAAACAATATGTTCTATGACTAATGCACTCATACTAGACTTACTTTTTCTTTAAGTCTAAGCCTTTGTTCCAGGGCTACTTTTGCGAACTCTTAGCTGTGGTTGCAGAACTGTTTGTTAGCTGTTAACTGATGTTAGCAACAAAGTTGGATTCAATCCCACAATGCAGTAATAAAAGCACTAAATAAGTCTGTAAAATGAAAGGAAATACAATCGGCAAAGCAGTTGTTCCTCAGGTAAAAACATCATCACAACACTCTTGACCCATGTACACAGTGACAGGTAAATAAAAAGGAAAAAAGGTGTTTATCCGGACATGGTGTTATTCCAGTTTCCAGAAAACAGTTGACACACTGAAGAAATGTGGGTCAAACAAATGTACCAGGTCTAAGTGCTCTGCTGGAGCCGTCTCTACATTGTGGTGTTTGCACAAGAAGCGAGACAGGTGTACTGACAGTCCGCCATCTGTGTGGCTGCACTGTGTCCACACCGTCCACTGACCCAGAAAACAATATCCTGATTTTGTGTGGAGAAGACTCCTACCCTCCGCTGTGCTAACGAGAGCCGCGTCTTCATACAGTGTGCATTCGTACATATGTTTTCAGCCACAGACACAAACACTCATTCAGAGGCTTTGTACTAGAGCAGTAGTTGAAGTCCTGGTAGCTATTTCCAGCCTGAGTGATTTATATTGCGTCTACATCAGCAGTTTGGAGTAAATAAAAAGCAGTGAGTGATATGAGCTGCTACACAACAGCCACAGAGACTGTTTTCTGGGAAACACTCGATGCTAAAGATATCAACAGACTAAAAACAGATACTGTGTATGATTTTGTGGAGGATTGTGGGCTACCAGACCTCAGCATTATCTTTAAAAGACAATTGGACCATTTATTGCTGTCATTAACTTATCATTATTAGCCAACAGCGACCCGGAGTCTCCACTTACTGGCCTTTCTAGTTGGACCGGCCCTGCATTTTTAATGCTATTCCTGTTCCCACATGCTCAGATGCAGAGCGGAGGCTTTGTGCCAGGCCGCCGCCATTCAGCCAAAACACTCCGAGCTCCAGCACACTGTGGCACAGAGAGATCAGCTGAGGAAGATGTAGAGGAGTGGTGAGCTGAGGACATGGAGAACTCTCTGACCTCGCTTCACCACGGTCGCCATTACTACACCACCGGCATGTGGGCGTGGGCGTGTGTGCCCGGTGGGTGTTTATCTCTGGTGACTGCATGTGTGTGGGCAGTTGGGGTTTGTTTGTGTTTACATGGACGCAGAGGAGGATTCACACAGACTGCACAGCTCAAGTCTCTCTGTTCACATTAGTTTTCTTCTTTCTTGGTGTAGGACTTTATTTCCAGCCATTTTGAATGGAGACAGGCGGAAAAGAGAACAATGTTTTAGAACACAATGTCGTAGTTTGGTTGGATGCAGCAGTGCAATGAGGACGTCTCATATCATCATACACCCAACTCTTTAGTGTCCAAAACTGAAGCCTCCAGGTCATAACCAGCCAATCCTCGTCATCCTGATGACATAAATGTAACAATGCCCTGCAAGAGACCACCTTAAACAAACTGAGGCAACTGGACTGTGAGAAACTACAACTGTTGCTTCAGAATGAGGCAGACACACAACAGTCTAGCTGTTACTGTACCACTAAATAATAAAACATCATAAACTGTCTCCACCCACTCGTCAACAAACAACGTCTGAGGTCACTATGGTCTTTGAATGAACTTTGACAGGATCACATTCTCAAAAAGATTATAGACAGACTGCCATGTTTATGTAATGAGCCAGGCTAAACAGCAGTTCCACACCATTTCCACTACAAAACTGGAACAACTCAAAAGGTCAAGACCCTCAATGACCTAATGACGACAGAAAAATGTCATCAATATCCCAACGAGCCCCACCGTCCAGTAAACCATGGACATTAGTTTGACATACAATATTTATTTAGGTTCACAAAAATGATAAGTTAATTATCAGGTAGTCCACAAATATTGTGGGAATGGTCTCATACAGTCATACAAGGGGGTGGGGGGCATTGAGGGAACATACATGAGAAACCATTTAGAAACAGGCCCACCCAGAAACGCTCGGATTTCACCAAATAAAGTACGAACCATGGAGCAACTCAAAACATTAGTTTGGTCTATATTATAAAAAAAAAAAAACTTGGTTATTAAATCATGATTATATCCCTTTATTTTTTTACCTAATCATCTTTGTTTTTAATAAAAAGACCTTCAGCTATTCAAAATATCTTTTTTCTCTCTTCTTTATCCAATGTAAAAATAATTCAAACAAGACTAAACTAAAATAGGGCAGACCCTGATTTTTTTTTTCAATATATTGCCGTTTAACAGGGTCTTCCCCGACGTGTCCCTCAGCTGTCAGTGGACCAGGGAACGGCTGAAAAGTTGAAAACCTAAATGTCATAAAAACCCCTCTGTGGTCGGTCAGACTGAGGGCAGTAATATTTATATATACTGTATATCTGAAAGTAGTCTGTAGTGTCCCCCAAATAGCTAGTGGTGGGCTCCTTCAAGCGGCCCCTCCCCATTCTCATCTCCTCCATTTCTCATATTTCAAACAAGACACTTTGCTCTATTGCATTGTTGTTTAAACTTTGGGTATCACACCCACCCACTGCCACCCCGTCTCGAACACCGCCCCCCTCCCATTAACATGTCTCGACCTCAATGTACGTTTGCTACAAAAGATGTTACACATTTATGAACAGATCATGCAAAGTGGCGATTCTGTTTACAAAGATGGAGTCGTCGATTTTTTTCTTTAGCCATTTTTTTTTCTTTTGGTGCGTTTCATTATATTCTTTTCAAAAGGAAAAAAAAAACAAAAATCAATGTGGGTTTACAAACGAGTTCAAAACCTCCTCGTGAAAACCTCATAACAAGAAAAACAACAGTTAGCATTATAAACCATATTACACTAAAAACCTTTTTCTGCTTTAATAACCCAACAAAAATCTCCAGTGGACAGTTATCATCTGAGTCCAGGTTTAAAACTGTTTCAGAAAAAAAAAGGAAACTTTTTAAAAACATGTCCTGTGTCGGTGGTGGCGATGGTTGGTTTAAGAAGAATCCCTGATTGGCTGAAAAAAGTCAGGTGACCACCAGGTGAGGTAAGAAAAGTCCCAGCTCTGACGATGGGGATGACAGTATGGAGGTGTTTCTTCTGTTGTGTGTTCGTGTGTATGTACTTATTTTGATTAAAAACGCGACCACCCGTTCACATGCGTACACACTCACACTCAAGTGTGTGAGGATTTTTTTTCGAGTCATTCTAAAACACTACATCTCAACGTCCTCTCGCTCCTCATGCAGCACATAAAGTCGCAGAAACAGAGTCACCAGTGACGGAGGAAACAAAAAAATATACACTGGCTTCAAAAAAATGAAAATCTAGACAAAACTGAGAACCAAAAAATGTAAGTCTGCTGCCTTGAATGTCCTTGAACATCACATAGAATCCTTGGGCGTGACAATTTTTTTATATTTCTTTTTTTAGCTCAGTATTTAATAATATTCTCTTATCTATGCATTTACTTAGGAGAAAAACCTAACAAAGATTTCAGTTGCTCTCTTATTACTATGTCTGAGTGCGTGTGTGTGCATGTGTGTTTCTTTTTTGTGTAATTTGTTTTGTGTTAACATTTGCATTGGTTTTCTCTCCTCATCTTAAATTGTCCCTGGTGGGATTTTCTTGGTTTGCGTAGATTCCATCTCATTTGTCCTCTGTCCATTTCCATTTTGGGGAAATAAAAAGACCAAAAACCCCATTTTTTAAAACCCCATTATCTCCTCTCACCCCCCACCCTTCCCTCCCTGCTTCTATACCCTGCTCCCTTCCCTCCCTAGGGCAGTAGGGGGGCTTCATCAGTCCTGTGCCTCCCTTCATCTTTCAGCCTCCATCGCTACGCTAGCCTTCTGCTCAGTGCCTGTGTGCGGGTTAACTCCCGTGGGCCAGGCAGGGCAGGGTTGCGTAGGGGGCTGCCCCTGAGTCCAGAGTCCCTGCGGTGGTTGCTGCACATTAGATGGGATCCCCCAGCCGCCGACCTGGGGGGGCGGAGGTGAAGTGGCCATGGCGGCGGCCATGGGGCTGCCGGCGCTGCTGCTGTTGAAGCTCTCAGATGCCTTCAGTCGTGAAAACATGGTCAATGCGTCCGGGAAGTTTGGGGGTGTTGCTGGTGTGTTGGCTGGGGTGCACATCTGGAAAAGAAGCAGTGCAGAGAGAGTTTATGACATGTGTAGCCTGGTGTATATTATTTACAGGTGATGTGTAAATCATAAATATGAAGACAATAGAATTAGTTTTATGAGACTGTAGAAAATCACCCAGTGTGAAACAATCCTCAACTGTATTTATGCTACAGATGCGATCTATAAAGGATGAAGATTGTTTTCAGTAACTAAAGGGAAATTTAGGGGAAACCCAGCGTCTGCTCTCACACCCCTCCCCACCCTCCACCCCCCAGGGTCCTGATGGTCACATTCAGCTGCTTTGTTTAGATCAACTTCCTGTTATGAGCTAAATTTGATTTAGCCGAGTGATTTAATGTGTTCAGCCCGAGAACAAAATTGGACTGTAGACTCACACACTGTCTCTCTCACACACGCACACACACAGGTCTCCTTGGCCTTCTTACACTCCCCTGTGCTCTGACCTGCTCCGACCCTCCTTTGTGCCAATGATGTTGTTGCTGTGCTGGCAGGAGTTCCTTCAGTGGCTCACCCTGAGCACACACTGAATCATGCACACATACATACACACAGGCAGAAACTCAAACTGACACACAGTACAGCTGCGTGCCAAAAACAACACCGGTCTTGGCACCTTACAGCAGACAAACCATGTGAACAACATGTTTGGCTTTTTTTTGTTTTGCTTTTTCTTTCTAGTCCATTTTTGACTAGGAAAACAACAACCTTCTGTATTCCAGCAGGAAACGAGAGATGGAGTTACATTTAGCAAAAATGTCTGACATCTAAAAATACGAGTCCGGGCCGAGAAGCCAACAGGCCAGTCAACCACATGGCAAAATGATCCCAGATGACCTGTCACAACTGGTGGGAAGAAAACCAACTTGGCACGTGAACAGATGGGGATTGGACAGATTCAATTTATTCCCGACGGTGAGAAGTGACGACAAAGATAACGTATGTGCTGAGGTTAAAATTAATATCCACTCAAATTCAGATGATGTCCTGAGTTATAAAGGATTTTTTCCCATGTTCAAACACTCACTACATATTCCAGGTTGTGTGTTTAGGGAAGCAGGGGGTGGATTTTCAGGAACTGAGAGTCATAAGCTCCGTGAATCAACGACTGGGAATAGCAGCTGCAGTCACAGATGAACAAATAAGTAGCAGCACGTTGGAAAGGAGGAAAAGCTGCTCTACAACATTCCCTGTGCTGACAGCCAGGTCGCAGACTGACCTGTGCTATCTAATCTGACGCCGTGGACTCTGTCGCCCACTGTTCTCAGACCGTGGCACCAGAGAAGAAAGGGGAAACGACTGAGAGTCAGGAGGCAGTGTAATTGGACTACACTGCCCCCCTCACCTTTCCCTCAAAACACTGGGGCTTGCAGGATAGTGCTGATAATAAAACCATGCTGAGCCAAGCCGAAACGAGCCAGAGGTTCTCAGGGTGGCACACTGTTATGAAAGGTGAGAGCGTCCACTGTTCGCTCCGACAGGAAACGCTGGCTCATGTCTCTGAGGCCTGTTTCCTGTTGTAAAAAGACACCCTGGAATGCTAGAGTGACCTCTATGATCTTTCCTGTTCTTAGCCAGCAGTGACACAAGCTGTCTTAAAAAAAACAAAACAACTTCTGATTCTGATCTGTGTGAGTGTGACTTAGGTAGGAAATAATACTAACCTCCAATTCATCTGCCAGAAATAACTAAACAGGAGCCAAAATGCTGGCCTCTGACCTCTTAGATTGTTTACTGAGATGTTTCCATCTGTCTTTCTCATCCATAAACACACACACACACACACACCCAGTAATGAGGAGGTAAAAATATTTACATGCAGTCAGATGACTGGTTTCTAACGACTTCTTCAACCCAAACAATAGATAAATAAAGGGTAAACGTCACGTGGGTGTTGTTTGTATTTTCTTTTTCTCGTTAAAAAAAAGGCACTGTACTGGACTGCACTCTGTGCAGGGGACCTTGGACAGACTAGGACACGAAGACGCTGCAGCTGTCTTCTCTCTGCCAGGCCACTCAGTTTTTGGATCCCACTGCTTATCTGACAGTTTGTCATTGATAAATGTTTCAGCAGAGCCCAGAACTGTCAGCATCACTGCTGCTGCGCTCCAGCCTCCTCCCATCCATATGAAAAACAAACAAACAAACAAACATGTCTTCCACTGGGAGAAGCTTTACAAACAGAATGTTGTTCTCTTAATGTGATTCGTTTGGAGTGTTATCATTACATTATTGTTGATCACTGCTGCACAGGGCCTGGGGTTGAATCAAACTTTGAGCTAATGTGTCACAGGACAAACATGTAACCCACACATATCACCTAGCCAGTGCTATACAATGATTTATTTCCTGGTAGATGTGGCCAGTCAGGCTTACAGTATGTTTCAAACAAACATAATCAATGAAGTTTCGGCACCCCCCACTGGCCTATTTTTAAACAAATCACACTTTAGCTTTGAATTTGCGCTACAACAACATTTGATCTGAATGGTGTTAGAGGAAGATCAATAAAACCACCGCAATTTTTAAATCAGCAGGATTTCCTTCTCACAGACAGACAACACACCGAAACAAATCACACTTTAGCTTTGAATTTACGCTACAACAACATTTGATCTGAATGACAACAGACAACACACCATCGCAGATTAACATTGCAATTAAGCTAACATTAACATTGTAACATTAAGATTGCACTGAAGCAAGGACATAATATTGAAAAAGGTGCTTGGTCATAAGGAGGTTAAAAATCTAACCACCTCCCAGATGAGTCAGTCTGCAGTCACAACATGAGGGTTAATCATTAGTTTGTCAGTCATTCAAAAAAAATCAGGATTGAACACATAAACGTTGAAAAACATGATTCGAGAAACGTGACCTGAACTGAAACTTGGGTGTGGATTGACTATGAAAGTGATACTTAAAGGGATTTATTTAACAAAGAACTCTGTTGCTGTCAGACAGATATCTTTAATTAAATTAATTATTTAAAAATTTAAAACTCTAAATACTGTCGACTTGATGAAAATGAGTCATCCTTTGACTTCTCTACTGATTGCTGACATTGAAGTACGGCATGGGTATGTCGTTAAAAGGGTGTTTGGTGCCAGACAATAAAAAAAAATTTGTAAGACAACTAGTTACATAAGCATTAGCCAAGCGGTAGCCAAGAACAAAACTAAAAGTTTGATGAAAGATTTAAAGCTAAATAGTGGCTAAGATGTAGATGGATTTCCATGCATCCAACCATTCATCATTCTCAGCTGTTGGACGAGAGTGGGGCACACCCTGCTGTGTCAGTCCAGCTGGATATTCACTAAAATATTGTTGTACATTTGCGTCATAATTAATGTTAACCCAGACAGCTGCTAACGACTTCAATAAAGACATATGCTCAAAGTTGTCAAAGATTAAATGCTGCCAGATGTTAACTACATTTGTCTAGTAATTAGCTACAACTGCGTCAACAAATTCAATCAAAACATCTTTGATGTGGGAGAACAGTTTCGGCACTGCAATAATTCTTTTTTTAGGACATAATGTGTCTAATCAACAAATGGGTGAAATTAATGTCTTTTTAAATATTTTACCACCGTGGCAGTATATTGTAAATGGTGACCTAAGTCTTTTGCAGGAACACCACAACACGTAATGCGAGATTTGAGCTTAATTTATTCACACAAACCTCCATCTGTGGGTTTAGTTTGTTAGGTAACCAGAACTGATCTCAATTCCCAGTCAGAACAACACAAACACACTGGTAGAACCTCTCAGGTCGCAGTGTTTTTAAAAAAAGTGTTATTTTTTTAGATGTTCCTAGCACTTGTATCAAGGTAAGAACCTTCTATTTGACATTTAAAGCACATGAGGCACAGAGTCTGTTTGAGCGACCATTTGTTTTAAAACCTACAGATGGAGAGTCAGGGAATAAAAGACAGCGAGGAGCAGTTTGTGTTCAAAACACAGCCAACAGAGAGACGTTGTTATGGCGACAGTTGTTATGAGGAAGCAGTACAGAGATCTGCTGTTCAATGGATGGAGCCACAGAGGCCACAGTCTCCCCAGTTCTGTCCCTTCTTGTATCCAGTCCACGGAACACACGGCTAACTGAGAGCAACCACTCCAAACCTGCCTGGTCTGAGTTGGCAGCGAGGCTCCTCTAAATCTCTCCTGTTTGTGTACATACGTGCACAACTGAATGTTTGTCCACAACACAGACAAGCCGTTTCCACTTCTGGACTACGACTACAGTCCTCTGGAATATCAAGTGAGGATATAAGACCAGCAGTAGAGGGAAAACTGTTCAGTACAGGACTGACCAGGTACGCAGTGGAACCTCAACTGACCGAACTTCAAGCTTCCTCTAAAGTCACACACAACAGTGATGATAAAACCCATTTAAATATACAGTAACATTTAGTCTCTGTAAAACACTTATTATATAAATGATAACTTTAAAGAGTTAAAAACTGTGATGTTTGTGACTGAGTCTGCCTTGCTCAAGGTACAGACAGGCTGCCTTTGTTTAGGAGAAACACAAAGAAAGGAACTGAGTGAAGGGAGGAACCATTCCCATAATAGCGCTTACTTCTTATTTGTTAGAATTTCACAATATCCAAATCATCTTTTTCTAAAGTTCTTGTGAAACCACACTTGAGCTATGTAGCCAAGTCTGTACACATATTTACTGTGTACAACGTCTCTTGTAGGTTTCCCCACATCACTAAAAATCAACATTGGGTTAGAGGACGGTTAGAAGGTGAGGTTAGCATTGGTAAAATACAATCAACAACTGGACCAGAGAGACAGGCTCAAGCTAATAGTAGTCAGAGAGTAATTCTGCAGTATGGAACAACTGTCAGAAAGGTCATAAAATTGTACGCTGGAGATACTACAGGGGAAAATAGGGTGAGCTTAAAGGACATGATGAAGGCATTGCATATTCAAGGTGATTCAAGGTCAAATGAGAAGGTCTGCTGTGGCAAAAGAGA